TGAAGGTCTGTCTGGATGCAGGATGGTAGAGAGGCAGGCAAGGAAGCATTCAAACTAACCCCACATCAGTCAAAAACACAGATCCTGGCACGGGCAGCAGCCCTTTAAAATTGTGGTTAGGTTTCTTTGGCAAAAGTTCGAACCAGCAGCCGCAGCATTGGCAGGCAACATCATGCAGTTGAGAGCACATCAAACAAAACTGAAAATTTATATTTATACTTATATGTATGTACATACATATTGCTGGCAATAGTCAAGACATAATTGCTATCAATAAATAATATAAAGACTGGCAACAGAGGGGCCAACATCCACATCTACATCTCCATCATCACCATTCAACCAACGGCCACTAGACAGAAAATTTTGATTTATAAATTCATAGCAAAAGTTGCCAGGCCAAGCGGCAACATTTGTCTACACACACACACACACACAAACACCCATCGACTATCTAGAGACTTGGCAACAACAACAGCAGCAAGCAAAAGACCGTCTTTCTTTATGAAATTACACATTTCCGACTTGTACTACGACATTGAAGCCAAAAAAAGCAAAATACATACGAAAATTTTCCAAGAAGCAGGCAGCAAGGCAGTAAACAGACCCCAAAAGAGCAGCTGCACACCATTCGAATACCCTTAGACTCGCACAAACAGGCACACGCACACACTCACCAAAGGGGGGCCAACACTTTGAGTTAACTGGAAATTTAGTTATGCATTTTATTTACACAACCAGACACCTACAAGTATTAAGAAAATGGCAAATATCTTAGCGAAAAATATGAAAAACGTGTATAGTATATTGGCAAAGAAAACGTTTCATACAATTTGGAAATCTGCAAAATCATTGAGACAAGCACACAAGAACAACAACCAAAAGTAGCAAATGGAATCTTGTACAATATTTCTATTGAAAATTCTTCAAAAATATCTCAAAACCTTACCCTTAGGATCTATGTAGAGAGATTGTTAAGTTGGGCAGCAAAACGGACAACAAATCCACAAGCAAAGAAAAAGAAAAAGAATAACCTATATATGCGATTCAAAATAAAACGAAAAGAAATCGAGAAACTATTTCGGACACAAGGTTGGGGATACCCAGTGTAATTGCTTAGCGTATTGTACTTGCTTAATACAAATAATAAAGCACAAGTACAGGACCGACCGGCAGGGCCCTTTAGTTCATTATAATTCGCAAGTCGAATGAGAAATAAGAAATGAAAAATCAAAAATCAAAAGCAATACTCAGGTACACAGCATAGGCTTTTCAAAAGTTATTTTAGTTGCACACTTGCAAAGAAATTAGACTCTAACTAGCAAATTGCACGATAACCATTAAATTTAATCATGTAACTACACTCTGTATCCCCTTAGTTAAGCTAAAACTAAAAATATTTAAAAAAAAAAAACAAACGAAAATTGGAAAGACCCACAAGCAACAAAAACGAAAAAGATACCAAAAGCAAGCAGGGCCAAAAATGTAGATAATGCCAATCCTTTTGTCTAAAATATCAATTCTTCTTATTTTACATAATTGTAAAATATTTTAGACGAAACGATTGTTGCATTTTTTATATGATATATTCATTATTTTGTCTATAAAACATTTACAGGCATTCACAGACTTTCCTTTATCAAATAGGTCAAATATTTTCAGTTTCGTTCCAAGTTACTTTCGATTTATGTGATAAATAAAATATTAGCAAAGAAAACAAAACAAAAAGCTCTTTACAAAGGCAAAATGAAAACAAAAACTGTGTTAATCAATCTCTTTAATGGATCTAACAATATATACGAGTATATATATTAAATAAAACTCACATGTAAATTTACAAAACAAAACACTCATCATATACTATATATTGCATATTTAAATCAAATCATTATATTAAAGGAAATATTATTTTGATAACCAAACATAAGCACATTGTGAACATTAGAAATAACTTTTAAATTCTAATTTTAAAAAATCAATAAAATTGTACAAGCCAATTTGCTCAAATAACAAAACAACAAATGCGTTTCATTCACACTTAAGCGTACTGCCAACAAATCCTAGATAAATATTCTATGAATCTAAGCAATTTTTTCTAAGGATTTCAGTTAATTTTGAGTAAATTAGATGCTGAACGAAAAGCGAACCAATCAAGTAAGTGAACAATTTAATTTTTAATTATCAGCATGGATTACATATAAAAAGTATATACCTAATACTTATAAAATATATGTATAATAAATATTGAATCATCAGTTAACCATTTCGCATTACTCACTTTACAATTGAATTTACTTCCATCTTTCTATATTGCACTACTTTATTCATCAGCATGAATTATTATAAGTATATCTAATACTTATAAAATATATATACATATGTGTAATAAATATTTACTCTTCAGTTAACCGATTCCCATTACTCACTTTTCTATTGAATTGACCTCCATCTTTCTATATTGAACTACTTTTTTCGGCATCTTTAAGTGGGCGTGGTCTAAAAGACTTTTAAGTTCACATACAAACTTCACGAATGCTTCAAAAGTAGCAATAGAAGTAGTTCGATATATTTTTATTATGACCAGATTTGCAGGCCGTGGCCCCCCCCTACAAAAAATTTTTCCATGCAAAGTCGACCACACGTTCATTATTATAACGCACTATTTCGCCTTAGAATGGAACTGTGTTGGATTTGTTGAGGTTTTTTCATTGATCATATGCATAAATTATTTTTTAAATGCATCGTGCATTATTTAATCAAAATTTTAATTTTTTGCCCAGAAGCCCAGTAAATTAATTAATAAATAATATTTTTTGGAAATTCAACAGTCTGCCCTCCTCTGCGCTTCTCATACGAGGCACCTAAGCAAAGCATCAAAAGCAAAGAAAATCAAATAAATAATTAAATATTAATTTTTGGAAATTAAATTCAAAAGACTGCCCTCCTCTGCGCTTCTCATACGAGGCACCTAAGCGAAGCCGTGTCAGCATCAAAAGCCCAGAAAATCAAATAAATAATTAAATATTAATTGTTGGAAATTAAATTCAACAATCTGCCCTCCTCTGTGCTTCTCATACGAGACACCTAAGCGAAGCCACGTCAGCATCAAAAGCCCAGAAAATCAAATAAATAATTAAATATTAATTGTTGGAAATTAAATTCAACAATCTGCCCTCCTCTGCGCTTCTCATACGAGGCACCTAAGCGAAGCCATGTCAGCATCAAAAGCCCAGAAAATCAAATAAATAATTAAATATTAATTGTTGGAAATTAAATTCAACAATCTGCCCTCCTCTGTGCTTCTCATACGAGACACCTAAGCGAAGCCACGTCAGCATCAAAAGCCCAGAAAATCAAATAAATAATTAAATATTAATTGTTGGAAATTAAATTCAACAATCTGCCCTCCTCTGCGCTTCTCATACGAGGCACCTAAGCGAAGCCGTGTCAGCATCAAAAGCCCAGAAAATCAAATAAATAATTAAATATTAATTGTTGGAAATTAAATTCAACAATCTGCCCTCCTCTGCGCTTCTCATACGAGGCACCTAAGCGAAGCCGTGTCAGCATCAAAAGCCCAGAAAATCAAATACGTAAATTAATTTTAATTTTTGGAAATTAAATTCAAAAGTCTGCCCTCCTCTGTGCTTCTCATACGAGGCACCTAAGCGAAGCCGTGTCAGCATCAAAAGCCCAGAAAATCAAATAAATAATTAAATATTAATTGTTGGAAATTAAATTCAACAATCTGCCCTCCTCTGCGCTTCTCATACGAGGCACCTAAGCGAAGCCGTGTCAGCATCAAAAGCCCAGAAAATCAAATAAATAATTAAATATTAATTGTTGGAAATTAAATTCAACAATCTGCCCTCCTCTGCGCTTCTCATACGAGGCACCTAAGCGAAGCCGTGTCAGCATCAAAAGCCCAGAAAATCAAATACGTAAATTAATTTTAATTTTTGGAAATTAAATTCAAAAGTCTGCCCTCCTCTGTGCTTCTCATACGAGGCACCTAAGCGAAGCCGTGTCAGCATCAAAAGCCCAGAAAATCAAATAAATAATTAAATATTAATTGTTGGAAATTAAATTCAACAATCTGCCCTCCTCTGCGCTTCTCATACGAGGCACCTAAGCGAAGCCGTGTCAGCATCAAAAGCCCAGAAAATCAAATACGTAAATTAATTTTAATTTTTTGAAATTAAATTCAAAAGACTGCCCTCTGCGCTTCTCATACGAGACACCTAAGCGAAGCCACGTCATCATCAAAAGCCCCAGAAAAACGAGTAAATAAATAAATAATAATTTTTGGAAATTAAATTCATCAGTCGCCCTCCTCTGCGCTTCTCATACGAGGCACCTAAGCAAACCCGTGTCAGCAAACACTTCAGGAAAAAGTGGTGTTGCATTAGAAACCGACATCCTTGCCTTCATAAAGTGTGCGAATTAAGTCTCTAGGACAACGATATTTTTTGTTGCTAAAACTATATTGCATTATTTTTTTAACTATTATATATGTACAAGTATATTTCGCCACCCATACTGCCAATGTTTCCATGCATCATTGCAGAGTATGTTAAATCTTTTCAACTTACAAGTCGTAGTAACTCGGATTCGGAGTTTTTTTCAAAAAAAAAAAATAAAATAAAAACAAGTCCATTGAGCTTGAAATTATTGTTACATGTCGTGTGCTAATCGTTAGATTAAGTTCATCACGAATTGGGGACAAGTTGATGCCCTCATTTATTTCTACATTTTTTTTCGTCTAGCATCTCGTTTTTTTTACCCAGACGGAAACCCAAGGTAGAATCTTTGTGAAGTGCTCTCAAATAAGTTTTATGCCAATGGAAGAATCACAAAGTGGGGCTGAAATTTACCAAATAGTCCTTCAAAATTTAATTAATTCAATGGAATCCTGTATTATTAATAATAATATACGGATTGCAGAGTTGGTCTTTTCTAGCATGAATAAATAAAACAGAAACGACAAGATTACTGTCACATAATCGTTAAGTATATTATTTTATTTTTTTTTATTTAGTTTTCAAAGTTAACTAGACTTGTTGCAGTGATTTTACGCTAATTTCTTTTAGCAGTTTCTAGCTTAAGTTGTTTTTTATTCCTTTTTGGTGCAAGAATAGAGTTTGCATTTTGTTGACTACACATCAACATTTTCCACCCTAATTCGGTTCTTAACGCAAAATGTGAGTTATTATGTGGGTGTGTTGTGGTGATCTTGGCTATAGCAATATCAATTAAACTCGTTTTGTGACACGCGAAAAACAGAAAATAAATTAACATAATCAAGTACCGATTATAACAATGTATTGCGGGCCCGCCAATGACGTTTTGTTTACACAGTTTTATGACTAATATCAACTGAACTAGACAGTGTCGTCGCAGCACGCGATTCATTGCACCTTTTACAAGCCGGCAACAATGATCCTAGGATCCTCAACAGCCGCCTTTACTTTACGCAGGAACAAGACGGCCTCACGTCCATCAATGATTCGGTGATCGTATGTCAGCGCCACGTACATCATGGGGCGGATCTTGATCTGTTGATAGATGACAAATTATGAGTAACGATTAGGTTTTGTCCATACAAATGCTGACTCACCTCGCCCTTGATCGCAACTGGACGCTCAAATGTGCCATGCATACCGAGAATGGCACTTTGTGGTGGATTGATGATGGGGGTGCCCATCAGGGAGCCAAACACACCACCATTACTGATGGTGAAGGTGCCGCCATCCATGTCCTCCACAGTAATAGCATCGCGTTTCGCCTTATCGGCCAGACCGGCCAAGGCGATCTCAATATCGGCATAGTTCATGCTCTCCACATTACGGATGACGGGCACAACAAGGCCGCGAGGTGTGGCAACAGCCACTGAGATATCTACGTAGTCACGATACACCATTTCCTATAAATAAAATACGATGTTGTAATTAATTAACTGGTCTTTTAACCCATTTCCATTCCGTCCACATATTTTGATCTAATAAAATACTGCTTTAGAAATGTGGATAGTCTAAAATGAAAGTATGTACTTCTTCAACTTTATATACAAATAATTTTCCGAAATGAAACCTTTCACCAATATTTACTCATGTGCGAGATTAATTTAATTTAATTTCTCAAAAATGTCAATGTTTTGAGGTCCAGTAGCTAAGATCGTTATACGTTATAATCTGCTCATTCAATTTTGATTTTGTTTATCGATATAAGACAATACGCTTAATTACAAATTGTGAATCTTGCCTAGAACCATATTTTTCAGTATGTAAACAAATTTTTTAAACCAAAACAAGAAAGGAATGCTAAAGTCGAGCAGGCTCAACTCTTAAATACCCTGTACCACCCCACAAAAAAGTAATTTAATTAATTAATTAATTTAATTTAATTAATTAACTAAATTAATTTAATTAATTAACTAAATATTAACTAATTAAATATAAAATATTCCATGCATGCATACATACATTTACATTTACATCAGAATCGTGCCTTATGCGTGTTTGTGTACTTGTACATATGTATGTATGTGTGCATTGGGCCTGGTTATATGGCTATAACTTTCTTTTTGATCATTCTATCATAATGAAACTTGGTATACGGATATATAATTACTAACCTAATGTGACTACCAAATTTAAGTTTAAAATTCCAAGAATTATTGGAGTTATAGAAAATTGGTAATAGGGGGGGAGTGGGGGGTTGGATCAGAAAAAATGAACAAACTTGTCCTTTCTCGGTCTCAGGAGAATCTGTATACCAAGTTTGGTTATTCTAGCTCTTATACTTTCGGAGATCCTTGCGTTCATACAGACAGACAGACGGACAGACAGACGGACAGACAGACGGACAGACGGTCAGACGGACAGACGGACAGACGGACATGGCTATATCGACTCGGCTTGTCATGCTGATCAAGAATATATATACTTTGTGGGGTCTACCAAGCCTCCTTCTGTGTGTTCCATGTGCACTCGCACAAAACTAATATACCCTTGTACCCTTTGGGTACAGGGTATAAAAAACACGCTTGCATAGCTTTATCGCGGTAACAAAGTAAACGACAGAGACAAAAAAATAAAAAATAATAACGATAAGGGTGCACGGGAAATTACGTAAATAAAAAAAAAATATCGCGCGTTAGAGCAAAACATTTGGACTGCGGCAATCATTGGTGACGCAACGGGCAGTGAGATAACAGGCGATTGTTTAATATTTTGCGTAGACCTACCTGACCATCGATGACAGCATTGACGACGGGCTGGTCTTGCAATGCGTAGGCACTAGCCTTCGAGAAGATGGACATGAAGCCCATCTTGATGCCATATTTTTTCTGGAACGCCTCCATATTCTCCTTACGGAACTTAATTGCGTGGCTAAATAATTGAGGCAAAATTGTAGCTAGAATTGCTGTTGGGAACTATTACAAACTTACCTCATATCGATCTCGTTAAAGGTGGTTAACATGGCGCACGTGTTTTGGGCATCCTTCAAGCGAGCGGCAATCTTCTGACGCATACGGTTCATCTTGACGCGCTGTTCAGAACGTGTGCCCAAAATTTGGCGTGTTCCGTCGGCAGGTGGCACCTTCACTTGAGCCACTGCAGGCTTGACTGCGGCTTGTGGTGGTGGAGCAGCGGCGCGAGGAGCTGCAGGTGGCGGCCTTGCGGCTGGTGGCGGTGGTGGTGGTGGAGGTGCTCTAGCCGCTGCCGCTGCCGGTGCTGGCGCCGCAGGGCGAGGTGCAGCAGCAGCTGGTGCTGGTTTTGGTGCAGCCGGAGCTGGAGCAGCAGCCGCAGCTGCTGGCTTGCCAGCTGGCGCTGCACCAGGTTTAATTTTGAACAGCTCCTGTCCCGGTTTGACCGTATCGCCATCCTTGACCAAAATTTCAGTAAGCGTGCCATTAAATGGAGCGGGCACAGCCACCGTCGTCTTGTCCGTTTCGATTTCCATGACAGCCTCGTCGGCAGCAAACGAATCACCGACCTTGCAACTGAATCTATAAACAAAAGCATATAGCGTGTAGTTAAATACAGTATGAACATATTCTCGATTCTTCGAAAGTTTCCAGTTCTTGTTGCGAATTAAGATAATGATGGGGACATTAAATTTCTTAGATAAATAGAAACCCACAAAATGAAACTTTCATAATGATAATTGTTTCAGAAATTTGAACCTGAAAATTTGAATGCATTGCATAATTGGGGGCTCTAAAATTAGAATTTTCGTTTTAATTTGCTAACATATTTGTTTCTTCTTGTCACCGATAGTGTTCATATTGCTTTAACATAGAAAAAACTACAAAAGATGAATTATCAAACAACGTATTTCGCACATTTTTACCATGTGTTAATTATTTTTAGATGGGCGTGCGCTGCGTCGGGAAAGTTATTGTTGTTCCAATTTTACTTATTACTTCAACAATTACAAACAATAAAGATTACTGCAACTCATTTGGTGCCGGCTTGAGTTTATGGTTTATCATTTTGTTTACCAGCTACCATTAAAAAAAAAACAAGTAATTTGCGAATCCCATTAAGTTCCTCGATAATGGTAACATTTTTGAAAACAAAATAAAATAACAAAACAAATAACGAAATATTTTTCCGTCATGTTCCCACATATAAACCCCCTTGTTAGCTTTCAAATAACATTTATTTGCGTGGTTTTTAAGATGTTAATCAGTTGTTAGCAGATAAGCTGCAATCAATAAAATATACGCAAGAACATCCTATCGGCATCTTAACACTCTCACAAATAAAAACCTGTTGCTTGACTTGACGTTAACGACCTTCTTCCAATGCACAGGTATCTAACCTTGACTTCCATGCGATCAATATACGCTTCACTTACTTGATATCACCTTCAGCAATGGAATCCGCAAAAGGTGGCACCTTTATGGTCTGCTCCTGCCACAAACTGGTAGTGGTGTGGAAACTTTGCCAGCTACCGGCGGCCAAAGAACTGCAATAGCAAACAATCAATTATCAATGATTTTCCATAATATTGAGGAGCACCTACCGTTGCGAGTCCACAGGACTGAGGAGGAAGGCATCTTGATGCAACAGTTGTTTTTGGTGAGCCGCGGACACGGCAGCCAATTTCGAATACTGACGGACATTGAGGTTCGTCTGTAAGAACAGCGAAACAGTTAAAAATCAATGATTGCACAATCAGAGAGAAACATTAGCAGCAGCGGCAGAGTTCGGGCGTCCGTCACGTGAAGCGTGCGTCAGCTGTTGGCCGTCTGGAGGCGTGGCAAAGCACTAGTCACACACATCATACATACATATATGTACATGTATGCGCATATACATGAAGGTACATAACTGAAATGCACTGTGCAAACATTTCGCAATTTTCTTCGCAAACATACACATACACAATTACATAACCGTATTGCTGCTGTTTGACAGCACACGGTGCCTCGCTTCAAGTACACGCACAGAATTTGCTGTTGCGTCGAGAGATTGCCAAAACTTTGGCAACTTTCGCTTGCAAACAATTTAGTCCAACTCTACTTTCACACTTACTTCGTGGGACCGCGAAACTCCAGCAGCAACTTTCAGCACATTACGCGGCACGCGTCTTGTAACTATCGATATAATACCCGTCATATTTGGGACGTCGTTGTCGTTTGTTTTTAAAGTGTGCTTTTTATGCAAACTAATTAATTTTTATGTGAATTATTCAAAAATGGGTTTAATTTAGTCGCGGCCAAGTTGTTTCTACCGATGCCGTTACCGTCGTCCTCTCCATTCACCACTCAACATTTGGTTTCTTATGTCATCTGTCAACTTGACAGCAAAATAAACGTAACAGAGATGAGCAACTTCTACGTTTGTAACCCAGTAACGAGTCATTTTATATTTCTTAACCAACAGATATGTATAATAATACCAATAAAAAGGAGGAGCAAATTTGGTATCTTTTATTGTAAATTGCTGTAAAGTGATTTTGGCACACAAATACAAACCACTACTAGAAACATGAATTATGAATAATCGTAAGCACAGTGGAAGATAATCAGCTGTAACTTTAACAAAACATTGTTCCTCTCTAAATCGATACCAGCGTTTTATACTTGTCGGCCACGTACATTTTTGTTGCCCATTAGTCAAATGTAAACATTTCATTAATTTGACCCGAAACATGGACTTTCAAAAAGGAATTAGTGACTGGGATGTTAGCACCAGTGAAAAGGTCGATGAAGCATTGGTGCGCTTAGCCCAGGAGGAGGTAAACATAAGTAAAACATACAATTTGTGCTCTCGCTTATGCCTACTCCTCCCTAGGAATTGGCAAATGCCCGTCTGGAAACATTGCTGACCCATCAATGCCAGATAGAGGCGAAAATGAGCGGTATAGGACGTGCCATGGCTACACTCTTAGCGGTGGAAAGCGATTCCAAAAACCTGAACGCACAAATCGTAAACACCGCCAAATTGGCGGAATCGGTCAGTGCTAAGGTGCGACGTCTGGACTTGGCCAGGTGTCGGGCGTCAGAGTGTCAGCAACGTGTGCACGATTTAATTGACTTGCAGCTGTGCAGTCAGGGCGTTGTGAAGGCGATAAGTGATGGAGAGGAGGATTACGAGAAAGGAGCAGCTCACATTGCACGTTTTCTGGCTATGGATCAACAGTTACTTCAACGCACGGCAGATGATGTCCAGGGATCGTTTACGTCTGTAAGTGATGCGGTGCGCACCTTAGAAGAGGCCACCGAAAAGATGCAAACCCAAATCTCTAGACGCTTTGATGAAGCTGTAGACAACGATGATCTGGCGTCCGTTGAAAGATTTTTCAAGATATATCCACTCGTCGGCTGTCATGGCATTGGTATTGAGAAATTTTCAAATTACATTTGCAAAAAGCTGTCAGTCAAGGCACAGAAGGAATTAAGGAACGCATTAGACATTGCAAAAGCTGAGCGGCGACTTCAATTGGCCTATGCAGATCGGTTGACGGCGATTCTGGAGAACTTTGCTCGAGTTGTGGAAGTCAATCAGCCTATTATCGAAGCATGTTATGGCGTAGCGTAAGAACCCACAACCCTCCGAAATATGCAAATATTAAAACACCCATTTCTTAAACAGATCGCCGTATTTGCTGGATATGATTAAAATACTACAGCGCGAGTGCGACTTGGAAGTCAAAAATTTGCTGCTGGAATTTAATAAGAATCGTCAAATTCAATATCGGATTCAGCAAATAAAAGAGAGTACACAAAGATCCAGCGGCTCAGGATCAGCCAGCAGTAATATACAGTCCCTAGGCCATTATCGAAAGCCATCGGGAGGTTCTGTCGATAAACTGAATCCGAAAGAAATTGATGCCATCATAGCTGAAATCACAGTCATGCATTCCCGGGTAGAATTATATTTTAGATTTATGCGTCGTCGCGTTCAGGTAAAAAATAAGCTCACAACTTTTTGTCTATAGTATTTATCTTATTGTCTTATTGTTTGTTTTGATCTTTTTGTTTTAGGCCAATGCGGAAGCATGTATGACGGAAAAGGAAGCACAGAAAGAAATTCTAGATTCGTATAACAACATTATCATAAAATCTGATCTTAGCCGTCAGATGCAGGAAATTCTCAGCACGTACTTGCTTTTCGAAAGGTTGGTATAATTACTGTAATATTATATAAATGTGATAAAATTGGCGTCGCCATTTTAGATATTTCATGGAAGAAAGCGTCTTAAAAGCCATTGCCCTGGACACTTTTGAAGCCGGACAAACATGTTCTTCGATGGTTGACGATGTATTCTTTATACTCCGCAAATCGATTCGACGCTCCTTCTCAACTCAATCCATAAACGGCACCTGTGCAGTAATAAATAACGCCGCTTCGAGTCTGGATGGTGATTTTGTAAATGCTCTAAAGACGCCACTGAAGAATGGTTATCCATCGGGCTATATTGACTTAGCCCAAGCCTACAATGCAATACAAACAACCCTACAGCAAGGGAAGCTGCAATCGAGTGATGCTGATAGAGGTCGAGCGAATTTCCTGGTGCAATTAAATAATGCAGATATATCGACGGAATATATTGAAACCCTATGGCAGACAATGGAGCAGGAGATTGCTGGAACATTCCCAAATATGAGCTCTGTAGAGCGTCAACTGTTGGACAGTTGCTTAACGGAACTAAAAAATGTACGCGATGCACTCAAAGCGACGGTCGACTTTGGAATGCAGCAGCTGCGATCGAGCGCCATTAAGCCTCGCTTGAATCCTTGGGTTGATCAATTTCTTAACTATAGTCATTATCTAACTGAGGTACTCGGTGGACATCACAATATTTTGCAAATGTTATTGAAGTATTACGTTTTTTGCAGGAGGAACTTGCGAAATATGAGGCTGGGGAAACTTTTGTGCAATTTCTAATTGTTCAGTTAGATGGTTTACTGACCACATTTAAAAGCTCACTTAGCCCCCGTAATTACGATGCGCTTGTCAGCATATTGGCAACAGAAGTAACGCTACGATTGGAACGTGCAATCAAAAAAAGCACCTTTAATAGGGTAAGTCGTCGCCTTATAATAGGAATTTCTTTAATAAATAATGTACATTTAACAGCTGGGTGGTCTGGTTTTGGATCAAGAAGTTCGTGCCTTGGGTACATACTTGACTGGAGCAACGTCCTGGTCTGTTCGTGATAAAATGACTCGCTTGTCTCAAATAGCCACGCTTTTAAATTTGGAAAAGGTATCAGAATTGTCCGAGTATTGGAATCCTGAGAGCAGCAACGATATGCCATCTTGGCGGCTAACACCAAACGAAATTCGCACCATTCTAACGCTACGGTGGGCATTGCATAAAATAATACAATGTAATATTTTCTGAACTACATATTTGCTTGTGTCGTTTTCAGAACTGATTTCCGAATGGAAGACATCAAACGATTACAGCTTTAAGCAGCGTTTATTTTTTAGTGATTCCTTATGTGCAGTTTATTATTGCTGAACCAATGAATGCAATCTTATCTTAATAATTTAATAATGAAAACCACATATGTATGTATTTATTTCATTTCTTGCACTTAGGTGGCGAAATTTACTATTGATTGTTATTGCAGCTTACGCCTTAGAATAAACTTACATAACACTGTACATACATAGATATTCAAAACATTTTATAATTAATACAATTAGCTATTAGCTAGATGCAAATTTCTTTTTTTCAAAAGCATCAAACGGATTTCATCATTTCAGATATTTAGTATAGATTTTTAGTATATTTTCGTTTGACGTATTACGTATTTTTGAACTTACGGTAAGACGGTCACACTTATAATCAGTTGGCAAATTGCTATTAAAAGTGGCTGGCGTCTCGCTTGCATTTGGTTGTTTCGTATTTTTAATTCAGTGCAAACCATGAGTGCAAAATCATTTTTTGAAAGTGACGAAGATGTGGCACAACGGAATAAATTGTCCAGAAAAGCCAAGGAATCACCATTCATGCTTATCGGTAAGTCTGCATGGCCAGAACTGATTTTTGGCTTATGTGACGTCATATACTGAATTTCTACCGACAGGCGCAAGGTAAAGGCGCCTTGACCTTGGCAATGTAATTTCGGTGCTAGGTTAAAGTGCCTGCTGCTCTGAGGTTAATTCGTCTTTAAAAGGCAGCCTATGAATTATTTGCATATGTACACACAAAAATATGTATGGGTCTGGCAATGTGGCGGGATAGCTTTTTGCAATGATGCCTATGATGTAACTTTCAGGAACTCATCTGCACATAATTGCTGCATTTAAGTACGCAGGCCAAGTGAATCACATAAAACGGTACCCAGCATTAGCACATCTATGACGTTATTGAAAGATTTGCAAGGCATGTGTGGCTGACGTTTCTGGACCTTGGCGCGTGATCGTCTGTGTGTGCGTTTATTTGTTGGTATTGGTAGACAAGTGTGCGATTTATCAGCACGTCTGGGTTGTCGAGCCAACAACAACACACTTGGCAACAACAAAACATATGATCGTGGAAAAACACTAGCCATCAACAATTCGAAATTATTTTAATAACTTTCAAAATGACCAAACCAATAAAAGTTATATGTATTTTTAGCTTTCTAAACCACTGGTTAAGTAATATGCCTTGCCATTCCCCCAAACATACCCAATCAAAGGCATATACAATACATACATACATATCACTCAAGCTTCTATAGTTAATGATTAATTTGTTATACCCATAGGTGCAGAATATTCATTCATTCAAAATGTTGTGGCATAGACACATTTACATTTTATAATTGCCATGTTAGCCAATTTGTCGGTCGAGGCGTATCAATCCCTGGGTTAGGGGTCAAAGCTTGTGAGGGATTATACCACAGTCTGCAAAGGTGCTCTTAAATTCCTTTTTAGAAAACTATATATCTTCTATATATGCAAAAGAAATGGATAACGTTCAATATATCTAGACTAGTTTGCATAAAAACAAACATACGGATAAATAAAGATTTATACAAAGGTATATTACGCTTTGATACTTCCGAAAATAAAGCATTTTAAATAAAAAGCTTAAAAAAAACAACCATGTTTTAAATAATGCATTGAAATACATATGTAATTGTTTTAAATATTATGTTAAAGACATGCTGAACTAAACTGTATGCACATTTTTTCAATATTTTTTACAGGTATTGCTGGCTTTGTAGCTGCGGGCCTCATCGGCGCCTATAAATATAAGCACCGTGGCACGATGAGCACGAGTGTCTTCCTGATGCAACTTCGCGTGGCGGCCCAAAGTGCAGTTGTGGGCACATTGACTCTTGGCTTGGCCTACACGATGGCCAAGGAATATATATTCGATAAGCAGCCAAAGAAAGAGTAATATACGAGTTCCTGCATCATTATTTTAATTGTAGTCGTAATATCGTTGCTATCTCTGTAATTTAAAACGTCTATTCCGACCACAAGAGTCTAAAGCGCCATTTTCAACAAACAATTTCATCAGCAACATCTTATTTTGTATACTCATGCTTACCAATCAATTTTCTGTTCTGTTTTAGTTTGGAACCACTGTCTAATTAAATCCCACTCTCATACATATATGATTGATTGACACCTTAATCCCGAAATCGCGAAGCACTGCTGCTGATTCGGTCCTTCAACATATCTGCAATTCAGCGAACCTAACTTTTATTTATTGCATCATCATAAGCTATCCCCCCCGCCCTCACACACAAATACAAACCACACTGAAAACGAGGCTTTGTACCTACATAACTGTTAAGTGTTCGATAGCTAATGTATTTGTATACCTGCTGTTTATGATTGTGATACAAGCTGTGTGTTTTTGTACAACAAGAGCGAAGTTCTACATTCAAATTAGTCGAATTAAGCACAAGTCGAGGCGTGCGACAGAATGGAAGTTAAAATATAAAAAATACCTCTTACAAAACATGAAATATTATGTACATACTATAAAAAATGATACGCATGTACGTTTAAAATAAAATCTATTTAAGATCAGAAGAAAATTGTGTATCTGGCAGTTGGCCGATTTTCAACTGCGAGTGTCAAAAAATGGACGATGATTACGTCAGCCATTTGACGTACTTTGGAAAATTTTTGAATGACCAAAATTGGCATGGAAGATGCCTTTGGATTCTGGCCTATACAGACGGACCATAGGTACTCAAAGTTTGGGTAAAGACTTAAACTCTTATCATTATTAGTTTCATGAGGCATCAATCACTATGGAAATGGAATATACCAATCCTTAAACGTGCAGCGTCTTTCCGACACGCAGCAGCCCCCATATTAGTAAAAAAAATATATACAAAGGCTATCATGAGAAAATTGGCATATATTTTAAACTTTTTACTTGTCATAAGCAATGCAAATTTTAAAATTTTGGGTGAAATCCAGCTCAGAATCTCTTTCTTATTTAATATGTGAACTAACTTTGTAAAGCGGCGGTAAAATGTTTTTCGGAAAAATCGAAACAACAAAATATTAATGGATTTCCCATACATGTTTTAAGGCGTGTTTATGTTTCTACGTTTAATTTTAATGCATCATTATCAGTATTCGGAATCAGAAACTATATCGGCAATGGACTTTGAAATAACAGGGATAAAGCTAACAAGATGTTTTTAATTATCCCTAAATTCTATTACCCATTTTATTTGCACAAGCAAATTTGTCTTAATTTTTTAACGCAAAACATTTTACGCCTAAAACTAATTAATAAATATGCAAGTCTTGGGATATTTGAAAAACAGCGTTTCTATAAAATTTTAATATTAAAAAACTAACTATTGTGTTCTGGGAAGTTTATTAAATAACTGAAAACAAAATCAGGCAATGAGTTTATGGACAGTATCAACCAAAAATCGGATGTTTTAAAATATCAAGAGGGTTCCGCAATTTTTTCCGTATACGAAATTAAGGGGCAATAGGGAGTTAGTAGACCTTGATGTCGGCGATGACCTTCTCGTTGTCGTAGATCTCCTTGGCGTAGCACAGGTTGGGGTAGTCGAAGGCGGCGCCATAGCGGTTCTTGCAGCCACTGGTAGCCTTCTCGCCAGGAGTGTAGACGGGCTGACCAATGATGTTGGTTGTGGCGAAGTTGCAGGTCAGTACGAAGTGATTGTAGAAGTCGCGAGAGAATCGAACGGCAGCGCAGCCCACATGGGTGTTCTTCTCGGCCACCGAAATGGTGAACTTGGCCACGTTCTTGTTGGGCAGCTCCTCGGGGAAGTTGGACAAGATCTCGGGAGAGGCGTTGGAGCGCTCGGCAAACCAGTTTTCAATTTGTTCCTTTATTATTTCAGCATCGGTGTATTCGGATTCAGCGCCACTGTAGCTGAAGATGGCATTGTTCTGGCCCGCATAGGCGAATCGTTCAGTGCTGCGGCATTTGTCAGGCAGGGAGAGGCAGGTCTTCACATTGTAGAGTGCCAAATGGGCGAGCTCTTCGCACCAAGTCATCTTGGCCATGCGTACGGCTTTGGGTAAACCTTCAATGCTGCCTCCGGCCACATTATTGCGGAGCTCGTTGAACAGGGTCAGGATCAGTTTGTGATGGGGATCAATCTTAACTTCACGCACATCCTTAGGGCACTCTGGACTAAATTCCTATTAGAGAAGGATTCAAACAATTAGCTATCGAGTTATTTGGAGTGGTGGGGGCTATTTACGCCTTTATTGTTGCAGCCAACGTGCTTGTCCAGACAGGTGGGCAGGGCGCAGTAATCCACTGCAGCGGCCAGTCCAAGGAGTGAAGCTACTAGTAGCAAGAGTTTTTCCATTTTCAGGCCAGTCATCATCGTTGTTTAATATTGAAGTCAGTCGATGGTATCTCCCAACTGAATTCTACCCTGTGCCAGGCTCTCTATTTATAGGTCCACCTTCACCCATCTTGACAAGACAGTTTGCCACGACATAGTAGAGAATATCTATAATTGCACAGACTTTCAAATGAAATCACTATTTTCTCAGCTGTTTTCCAAAGAAGGTCTGTTTTCCAAGCAACTTTCATAAAAATTCATGGATTTCCTAAGCAAATGTTTAAATGACGCACGCAATGGAAACAGTCGGCCTATAAAAGGCCAAGACTCGCCTCCGTTTGGCATCACAACGGCAAGAGCATGGCGTTCCCCAAAGTGACTGGATTTCTAGTAGTAGCTGCGACCCTAATTGGACTAACCGTTGCGGTAGATTACTGCGCCCTGCCCACCTGTCTGGACAAGCACGTTGCCTGCAACAACAAAGGAGTAAGTCGGAAAAGACTCGATCAGGAATGGCCCCTTCTCTATTCTAATTTCCATTCACATCCAGAACTATAGCACGGAATGCCCCAAGGATGTGCGTGAAGTGAAAATCGATCCCCATCACAAACTGATCCTGACGCTCTTCAACGAACTCCGCAATAACGTCGCTGGTGGCAGTATTGAAGGTTTACCCAAAGCCGTTCGTATGGCAAAGATGTCCTGGTGCGAGGAGCTCGCCCATTTAGCGCTCTACAATGTGAAGACCTGCCTCTCCCTGCCCGACAAATGCCGCAGCACTGAACGATTCGCCTATGCGGGCCAGAACAATGCCATCTTCAGCTACAGTGGCGCTGAATCCGAATACACCGATGCTGAAATAATAAAGGAACAAATTGAAAACTGGTTTGCCGAGCGCTCCAACGCCTCTCCCGAGATCTTGTCCAACTTCCCCGAGGAGCTGCCCAACAAGAACGTGGCCAAGTTCACCATTTCGGTGGCCGAGAAGAACACCCATGTGGGCTGCGCTGCCGTTCGATTCTCTCGCGACTTCTACAATCACTTCGTACTGACCTGCAACTTCGCCACAACCAACATCATTGGTCAGCCCGTCTACACTCCTGGCGAAAAGGCAACCAGTGGCTGCAAGAACCGCTATGGCGCCGCCTTCGACTACCCCAACCTGTGCTACGCCAAGGAGATCTACGACAACGAGAAGGTCATTGCCGACATCAAGGTGTACTAAATAAGGCATACACTTAAATGGCGAAAAGCCATATGACAGAAATTCCCATTATAACAGCAAAAGCCCAATAAAATAGCTTCAATAAATTTAAAACCCCTTATTTATAAAAAGTTAATTAAAAGTGAATCAAATTATATCCTTTAGATCATCGTCAAAGCCTCTACTAACATGGTGATGCTGTGCAAGCTTTCAGATCGCTTAGGGGTTTCTAAGAATGGAAGCGCTAACGAGCTGCCACGGTTAGGCTTATCAGGTCTTTCACACAGCCCAGCATTTTTCTGCGGACTTGGCTGGTCCTCATGGACAGGCTTTTGGAGTTTTAGACCAGAATTGAAGCAATAAAGTTTATAGACTTTCTGGTTATTAGGAGGGTCAGGAACCCTTCTTCGGCACTTGCTTCTCTCACACGTCGGAAACACAATGAATCTACCCACCGACGCAACGCATCTCCCAGCTCTATCTAGAAATATGTATAAGGTATAAATGTATGTAGCTATTTTGCCAAGTGCTCATCGCCTGTACGCGAAAATAATAAATTCCTTTCAACTAAAATAAACAAAAGTAATCTGGATATACATATAGTATAAGATCTAAATGCCTTTTCTTCTCTTTCATGAAACTCACTCTAAATAAAATGTTTGAAAATGAAATAAAAATATTGAAGTAGCAGACATTGCCATTTATGTATGTATGTATTCGGTATTCGAACTCACGTAAAGGGTGTATAACTGCACATTTACATACATACTTGTATGTATGTATGTGATTCTATACTGTGTGTGAGCATGTGTGCAGTAGAGTTGAGCCACATCAGCACCAACAACAACAGCTGTAGGCAGCGCTTGGGCACAGATTACACCTATAACCTTTCGAATTGGCCTATCAAGGCGAATCTTGGCATACGGACACAATCTAACTAGAGGTGTTTGCAAATTTCAAGAATTACGGGAGGTATCAAATATCACTAATTGAAATACGCATTTACTGCGTATTCATATAAGGCATCTGGGTCTAAAATTTGGTGTCTCTAGGTCTCATAGTCTCCGAGACATACATAGTAATTATACATATACATAGGTGATTATACGAACGACGTTACGAAAAATAAGGCATCTTTGTGCAAAATTTGGTGTCTAGCTCTTATAGTCTCTGAGATTCAGGTTAGATCGACTCGTCTTGTCCTGCTGATCAATATATACACTTTGCGGTGTCTGTCAAGCCACCTTTCCTGCCTGTTACATTTTTTCAGCTCGCGCAAACCTAATATACTCTTGTACATTTCATGTAGAGTATAAAAATCAACATACATACATACACCGTACTTATGTAGGGACAAACTATTCAGAATTGTCTTTTTAATTTATAGTTTAGAAAGCTAGTTTTAAATCAATGAGATCAAAAATTCAATTTTGTATTTATACAATTTTTAATAATTTTTTTTTAATAAAACAAAAAATCAATAAATATTTCTTAAGGTGTTATCAGCTTTTTAAAGCCATTTTTTATTTTACTGCCTGAAATTGATTTTAACATAGAAATATGTAAAATTATGCCTGTTGCATTTAGGCGGTGGCACCGGCGGCAGCGCTGGTGGTTGCGGCCTGCTCCTCCTTGAGGCGATCCTTCTTGAGAGGGCCCATGAAGGCCAGCTTGTCGGCAGGGGTCTGGAAGCGACCGTGACCCATCTTTGAGGAGGTATCGATGAACTTGAGCTTAATCTGTTCCAAAGCGGAGCGCTTGGTGTGCTTCAGGAGGGTCTTGCGCAGAGTAATGACGCGCTTCTTAGAGCCAATACAGCAGCCCTTGATCATGACAAAGTCATTGTTGACCTCACCATAATGGGGGAAGCCACCCATGGGGGTGATGCTCTTATCGGTCAGATCGTACTCAGTGGAGGCGTTGTTCTTGATGACCTGAGGGACCATAAGTGAATATCATATTAATAGTAAATTAAGAATTTTAATTAATCGAAAAAGCAAGTTTTTGCTTGAGCAGCTGTTATCAGTCCTATCATTTTAAATATCATGGTATTTCAAGTGAATATTTTACTTCGATGTCATTGTTTAAATTTCACGTTTATGATATCATCATGACAGCGCCCTTTACCATATAAATATAAGTTACTAGGTATCTCACCTTGCCGTCCTTGGTGTGAATGCCAGCACCAATGCGGTAGATCTTCTTGTTGATCTCGGTACGATGGTGATAACCCTTTTGACCAGCACGTGCCACAGTGGTGGACACGCGAGATGGATGCCAGGCACCAATACAAGCGACCTTGCGCAAACCCTTATGAGTCTTTCGGGGCAGTTTCTTAGTGTGCCAACGCGAGGTGACACCCTTGAAACCCTTACCCTTGGTCACGCCAACGCAATCGACCATCTCATCCTGACCGAACACATTGCTGACTTGAATGGGCTTCTCGAGATGCTCACGCACCCACTTAACCTTGTCCTCAATGGAACCACCATTCAGCTGAATTTCCATGACATGTGCCTTCTTTTGACGCTGCTTAATCAGACGGATCTACAGAAAATGAAGAGCGGAATACACGTTAAAATTTGGTTTAAAGCAGTTTAAGTATTTACGAACAATTTTAAGTTAGATATTGCAACTGTACGTGGTATGGTTTAACCGAGCGATAATTGCCTAAGCGGCTACGAACCGTTTATGGAATATACCAAGCTTTGCCACCCGAGGGGCATGTTTTTCTGCGACGTTGCACTCCTAAACCGTGTATTGAACAGCCACAGCACGAATGCGTTTTAGGCCAAGCGCACCGAACGGCCACATCCGAGGATGTAGCACAGACAGCGCACAAGGCCAAGGACGTCGCATAATGAATAATGAAGTTGATAAATTCTATTTACCTGCGAATGAGCAATCACACGAATGACCTTGCAGTAACGCAACATCTTGCGGAAATCATTCTCGATGCTCTTCTTGCCAAGATCATCATTCCACTTCTTGCTGGCCTTGGTAAATGCCTTCTTCTTGCTCTTATACCTGAGAGTGTTCGAAGTTCATGTTTTATTAAAAGACGCTGCCCAGTTTAAAATCAAGCTCGTAAGTTCCAAGGAATCTGTGTTTCTTTGCTGTGGGGACGAGATAGAACGGGAAGGGTACCTCATCGCCGTTTAAAGCGAGCGGAGATAACAATCTTCCATGCCGTGCTCACTCAAACAAATTGGTAACCAAAGATAATGTCAGAGACATCAAGTATACCAAATCAGCTCACACGACTGATTCAAGAACTTTTTTAGAACCAATATTCTTAAAATGCCACAAAACAAAAATAATGCAATCGTATTTGTCTGCAAGTTATAACTATTATCAGAAGGAAGGCAGCAGTGATGGTAAAATGTTTTTCAACAAAAATTTGTTTGCTCTTCAGATACCATCTCTCATCATTAAAACAACTTCAGAACGAACACGTGCATCAGATCAGCTTGTGGCAAAACAAAATGGCGGCTGGCGTTGGAACTACATATTTCCGTTTTCGTCTGTTTTAGTACATACCAGTTCTTATAGAAGCGACGACGGCACTCCTCCGACAAATGCTGCGCCCAAACATTAACCAGGGCACGCAGGCCAAATGGCGTCTCAATGTAACCAACAGCACCAACAACTATCATTGGTGGTGTTTCTAAAACGGTCACGGCCTCGACGACCTCCTTCTTGTTCACCTCTGCAATGAACAGAAAATGAGGTTAGGCACGTGTTTCTTAATAGAAGCAATATTTGTATAAAGAGCATATCAGACCGCCCTAGTTAATTTATAATCACGGTTTTTCATAAACGTTCTAACCATAATTTTTAACTTTTTCTCATCAAGAAAACGCAACATAAAAATGAATCTCAACCCATACTTACTTGAACCTGGACGGTCTGCCTCACGCACAATGTGCGTCATGCCGGCTTTGTAGCCAATGAAGCAAGTCAGATGCACTGGCTTGGTAGCATCGTCTTTGGGGAAAGCCTTAACCTTGCCACGATGGCGACGGGAGCGCTTCTTGGGGTAGAAGGCCATCGAGCCATGGCGAGGCGCGGAAAACTTACGATGAGACTGCAATTGAACATAGTTAATTTAGTAACGGAGCGCCACGTTTTACAATAAGCGAAAATGTGCTCCCAAGTCAAAATTTAAAGGTTATGTTACAATGAAACACGCGTTCAAATTTTAATGAAATTGCACGATTGTATAAAAACTACGCTCAATATTTTACATAATTGCTTTACTTGTTAGATATTTGGATATTAAAAAACTGCACACTCCCATTTTTTTAATTAAACTCTAACAACTGAACTTACCATCACGTCTGTTCACTTCAGACGTTGAAACAGAAAGAAAGGAAGCTAACTCCAACGAAGCGAAGTTGGCTACGCTCGTCCCAGTGCTGCCCATTCACGTGAAAAATTAGGGATGTCTATCTATTTAAAATGCAAATATCAGCGACTACTAAAAGTATACTGCGGAATTATCAGAAAATACTAAAAATACTTACAAAATGTAAGACAAAAACTTGAATTGTTGTAATGTTGTTCTTTACCCATGTGCATATGGCAATGAAATGTATATTTAATGTGAGGTAGTTTCTTTCCCTTCTTAAGTCACAGTGAGCTCAAAACATCTTTACGGCTGTATCACAAAAGAAAACCGTACAAAACTAAAAGCTATGGTAATAAAAATAACAAATAGTAGCTTGCAAAGAAGATTTTTTAGCCAGCCCATCTTATCCAAAATAAAACTTTGAATCATATTGTTTCCTCAAAAAAATATAAGATACAAATATGTATTTGACGTGGGTGGTATCGACATACATATATCGGTGTCCGTCACAAAGGAGCTTTAGTTTCAGTATTAAAACACCGACTATTTCATTCATCTCGTATAATTTTTTTCTGAACATTTTTATTGTAAATTTTAAATACATTATCAATTGATTATTTCAATAACTAAAAATTACTTATCGATAGGATGTCCGATAGTAAGTTTAGTAAGTCGATGTCAGTCTCTCATCTCTAGCCCAGCTGGATTTGGCGCTCTTTGTAATTGCATTTTTCGTACAAGTTCTGTATCTGTTGTTCTCGAAGAGTTTATTTAATATGTCTACTTTGGAATTGTGTGAAAAATATTTTGAGACACGCGATGTGTATAAGCTGATGAATCTCAAGAAAGACGCCAAAGATAAGGACATCAAAAAAGCGTATCACAAACTGTCGCTGCTTGTGCATCCGGACAGAGTGCAAGAGGCCCAAAAGGAGGAAGCGACCGAAAAATTTAAGGTTATTTCCAAAATCTATCAAGTCCTCACCGATGCGGGTAAACGCGCACTTTACGATGAGAAGGGCATCATAGACGATGATGAGGAGGAGAGCAAGCTCAGCTCATGGCTGGAGTTGTGGAGCAAAATTTTTAAGCCGATTACAAAGGAGGATATCAGCAATTACGAAAAGGAATACGTGGGCTCTGACCTGGAGCGGACCGACATCAAAAAGGCCTACCTTGGTGGCAAAGGCTGTATAAATTACATTATGAACCATGTTCCGTTCATGAAAGTCGAAGATGAGCCGCGCATTCAAGAGATTGTCCGCAAAATGATTGCAGACGACGAGGTGCCTGAGTTCAAGATATTTACCGAGGAGCCAGCTGCCAAGCGCAAAAAGCGCCACCGAAAATACGCACGGGAATTGAAGGAAGCTAATGAGATCAAGGAGCGTATGGATCAAGAAGAGAAACAGAACGGAGGCGGCAGCTTGGAGCAGATGATACTGGCACGCAAGCAAAGTCGAGAGTCAAACTATAACTCGCTAATGGATCGTCTTTTGGATAAATATGGCACAGAGGATGACAGCGATGTGGTTGATTTTAGCGAGTTGGACAGGAAAAAGAAGCTCAAGACCAAGACGCCGTCGAAGCAACAGAAAACCGCCAAACTAAACGGCGTGAAGAAGGGCCGCATAGAAAAGCAAAAGGTTTAAGCTTGGGGAGATTTTTGTAGAGTATTAAGATTTCTAAATTCTATAGTTCATATAATATATTTAATCAATAAATAAAACTTATTGCTATAAGTATACATCCATGAGATACTTATTACCTATCGTAATGCAATTGCATTTTATTTACATAATTTTTTCAGGCTGGCAACTCTATTCAGCAGCTGTTTTCTGCCAGTGGTGCCAAACACTATAATAGGCCAAACAATTTTTACTGCGATTTCTTGTAACTATATTTCTGGAATTAGTTAGTCGTAAAAATGACTGCGCCGCCAGTTGTAATACTCAGTTGCCGTATCTGTCTGGGAGAATTCGATGAGAGCACAATGCGTGCTCTATTTGAAGCGGACAATGAAAATCCAGATGATGATGGCATTCCGTCTACAAGTGAACACAGTGACGCCGGGGTGCAGATTATAAGTGAGAAAATTGAATTTTGTTGCGGCATCAAGGTACATACACCATACATTATATATAATTTGATACTAACAAAGCGTTACCTCCTAGGTTCGCCCATCTCCCAATTTTCCAACAAAAATTTGTCGTCGCTGCTATGAATTTATGTGTATGTGGTACAACTTTCGCCAAATGTGTCTGAACTCGCAAGTTTACCTGGAAAGTTCATGTCTAGATAGCGAGAAGCCAGATGAAGTGATCGATGCCAGTGTGGAGTACATAGAATATCTCTACGAAACACTGCAAACGCAACCAACCACACAAGCACAGGAAGCCGCAATAAATAACGAAATCGCTGCAGAGCAGACCGATGAAGATATTGTCGTTGAAGGAGAATACCTGGGCGATGATGTTGCTCTCGGGGATGACGAAGAAATCGAGGAATTTCAAACGGAGGATCCGGAGCCAATTAAGATCAAGTCGTCACCAGGAATGGTTACGGTGCTGGAACAATATGATGGTGAAGACGAAATTGTTTCCAATCATTTTACGGATGATAGTCAATTGACCGAACAAATGGCACTCCACGAGGATCAAGCTGAGGCTTTTGCTGACGAATTCTGTCTATCATCCACCCCATCTCCTGAACAGCCAAGCACAGTCAACAAACGAAGGCCGGGACGGCCTCGTAAACCTGATCATGAGTTAAAATCCAAGCGCAAAGTGCGGACAAGCGGACAGACAAACAAAACTCAAATACCAGACGAAGATTTGCAAACTACATTTATGTGTAATCTTTGTGGCAACATTTATCAAAAGAAAGCTGCGTTTAGGGCGCATATGACAGCCCATTCGGACTATAAGCCGCATCAATGCGAGTGAGTTTTGTGTTGTATTTTTCAGCTATACAAAAAAATTATATTATTCTTCACAGAATCTGCCACAAATCCTTCCGCCAAGTGGGCGAATTACGCGCACATATACGACGTCATACCGGCGAGCGTCCATACAAATGTTTGTATTGTGATCGCCATTTCTATGACCGAAGTGAAAAAGTGCGCCACGAGCGTGTTCATACCAACACACGTCCCTACGGCTGCAAAGTTTGCGGCAAAACCTTTACGCACACGGCCATACTGAAGAACCACAGTCTAGTGCATTCCGGCGAGAAGAACTACAGGTGAGAACAAGGAAGTTATTAAATAAAAGAATTCTTATTTAGAAAAGTCAAACGATTCGAGTCTGTAGCCATGCAAAAACCACATTCTAACACAAGCCAAGAATTGCATATGTTTCCAAAAAATCGGAGGTCATAAAAAATGTTTTAAGATTATAAAATGTAAGATTTAAGACACCATGGGAACTAGCCAATTGCTTTTCAATCATTTTTTAAAAGTTAATGCGGACTGAGATAGAGATAATATCCACATACATACATCTACAAGCATATTTAGATTAGCAATATTGATAATCAAACTTTTCACATTTTGGCAAAAGGCGAATTATATTTAAATGTTCATCTTGAATATATTAGAGTTAGTCTTATAATCGAGTGCCCACATTCCGAATCAAATCTACAAACTTGTTTCCAAATTCAATTAAATTATGTGGAAGTGAAATTGGTTTAAAAAAACCCATGTCCAAAAAACATTGAGTGTTTAGGTTTTAAAGTAGAGCTTGGAAAACTAAATATTCAAAATAGTTTTTTAAATTAAAAATATGGATATATGTCTGATACTGAAAGAAAAGGTGTAAAAAACGTGTAAGGACCGATTACAGCTTAAAACTTTTTCTTAATATTTTCTAAATAAATAAATTGCTTTTGCCCTTTCAGTTGTTCCATTTGCTGCAAGTCATTTACGTTGCTGCATCAACTTAAGGCCCATTTACAAACTTTGACACATAGGACCAAGGCGGAACAAACGCTTGGCGAGACATCCAACGAGTACATGCTCGCTCAAAACGGTTAATTGCTTACTTCGAATACTTAGGCTTATACTATAGACTAATTTGCTAAATCTTAATATACATCAATAAAATACGAGTCCATTTGGGAGTCTCTATCTGTACTTCATGCCAGCCTCGCAGCGGTGGACGTGCGTATTTTCGTGGGCTTTTAGCTGATGGGGCAGCTTGAAGCCCTTGTTGCAGGTCACGCATCTATAAACGAACATTAATTAACACATTATGGATTGTGACGATGTCAATCACTTCACCTATAGGGTTTTGCATTAGAGTGTACGGCCTCGTGCGCCTTCAGAGTACTAGCTAGCGAGAAAGCTTTATGGCAGATACCGCACTTGAAGGGGCGCTCATTTGTGTGTATGCTAAGAAACGGAGACAGAAATATAATTAAGTAACTGGCCTGAATATGAGTTTATCTTTTTAAACTTTTCAACACACCGCTCATGTTTTCGAACTGTGCTCCGATCTGAAAATCGACGGTGACAAAAGCCACATTCATATGGTTTTTCGCCCGTATGTGTGCGCATGTGAGTTGTGAGATTACAGGTGGCAGTAAAGCGTTTGCCACATAATCTAAAATAAATAAAATTACGCACGATGAAATAACCAAGAGACAATTTACTTACTCGCATTCGTGGTTCTTCTCATTGCTATGCAAACGCAGATGATATTGGAGCTGTGATTGCTTGGGAAAAGTATTTGCACAGACAGGGCAGCTAAATCTAGCCGGTTTACATGCTCCTCCAAGGTCTACCATATGTGTCTCTGAATTCGTACCAGATTCGTATATGAGCTCATCATCATCCTCTTCAATAATTTCTTCGGCACTTTGGGCAGCATTTAGTATATAGGCATTGTCATCATTCTTAGTGGTTGCATTATTCTCTTCAAATTTACAGCTGCTGTTCTCGTTGACAACGTCAACATCAGCCATTGTATGGTCATTATCCGAATTTTCATCACTGGCTGAGGTATAAACGTTTTTCTCAGCCCCTTCGTTCACATAAATTATATAGTCATCAGAGTTATTTGCTTTCTGTTTCGATTCTTTCTTTAAAGTCTCAGATAAACTTGAATAGCGCTCAATTGTTATGATTTCTGAAGCGTCGGTGTCGGCATCAGCATCGGTTTCGCTCCCTGGTTTACTATGGCCACTTTCCGCAGCACTTGTTGCATCTACTAAATCGGTAACATTGGTTTCTTCAACCACCACTTGGTCCAGAACAACTTCCTCTTTTGGTTCATTCTTTGCGATAATAGACTCCGACCGCGGCATTATTTTAATTCGTCTGTATTTCACATCAACTTGCCTATCGGACAGAGCTTGCTTGCGCGTACGTGTTGCAGATTTGCCTACAGCCGCATCGTACACTTCCCCTTCGTCATCTTCAAAGTCCGGGGAAGTCAATATGGAGAAGCAATTCCTTGTGGACATGGCATGATTAACCACAGTTTTCAGATGTTCATCACTTTTTTTGCATTTGCTCAGAAATTGGTGCGTAACTTGTAGGGCGTTGATGCAAACCGCGCATATCTTATCAGGCAATCCATCATTTTTCTCAACCTAGAAATAAAAGTATGTATTACTTTAATATGCTTGTTTCGGAGTGAAGTCGTTAGGACTCACAATAACTCCAGCGTATTCCCGCAATTTTTGGGCTATTTTTTCATCATTAAATAAGGGCTGCAAGTCGGAGGTACGGCGACATGTGCAGGTGCGACACATGTTCCATTTGATGCTGATTTCCATTTTGCTTTGATATGTACTATCTAAAACCTATTCGCTTATTATTTTAAAATGCATAAAGCTATGTAAATAGTCTGCGATGTTGGTGTAGTCCGCTAGCTTTGGACGAAACAAATGCATATCGATTAGTAACTTGGCAGTACTGTACGAAAGTAACAGTGTTGAAGAATATCAGTACGCGACAAGTGTTGCCCATTCAGCGAACACAATATTTATAATAGGCGACTTGCGACGCTTTTTACTGCAGGTTGCACAGTATTTTGGGAGATTTTGGGCTCATCTAGATCACAAACATGCCAGAATATATGCTATGCAGAATATGCCTGACAGAGGACACAGACACAAATTTAAACATGACACCACTATTCGACGAACACAACATGCAAGGCAAGGAGCTGGTCCGAAAAATTGAAGAAATTGGCAGCATAAAGGTAATGATTCTGTTTATGTAAAAAACCCTCATCCTCCTGAATGTAATAACATGAAAATTTAATTCGTTTGGCAGCTGTTGCCGCTGGTCGACATACCAAGCATGCTATGCTCTAACTGTCTCCAAACGTTGTCCAGCGCCTACAAATTCAGGGAAACCATTCAGGCGAGCGAGCGCACTTTTTCAGCAAATGTTATAAAGGTATAAAATGTCGCTGCGCTCATGATTTTTACTAATTATGTATACGTTTTTATTTCAGGATGAAAATGATATGAAATTGGAGCCCACAGATGATCAAACACACATACAAATCGAAAGTCATGATGTTGAATATATATATGAGGGGGAAAACGAGTTCATCGATGCTGATGAGGAAGTTGAGCTGAGTGGTATGCTGGAGGAGAGATTGGAGGACGATGGTGATGAGGATCAAATGGAATACACCGTTGTTGCTTCTGACGATGCCGACGAAAAGGACATATTTCTGACTTACAGCAGTGATAGTGATTACCAGCCTAGTGAGCGGGTTCGCAAACCAAAAAATCGTAAAGGCCGACCCAACAAACGGGGGCGACCTCGAAATACCACATCGAAACGGGATCATGACATTACATCTCCTAACGCAACCAAGTCTCCTGGTAAATTAGACGACGGTTCGTCAGTAAACATTATGTGCGAAGTTTGTGGAAATATTTACTCAAAACGAGGCGCTCTAAATGTACACATGCGTCGTCATATGGCTGAGAAACCATTTGAATGCGAGTCCGTATACCTTACAATTAACCTAGGCTTCTACTTACTAACTTTTCTAAATCTTTGACAGAATATGCGGGAAAACATTTGCCGGTCCCTCGGAGCTCAATCGCCATATACGCGTCCACACGGGCGAGAAACCATTCACGTGTAAATACTGTTCGCGTTCATTTGCGGATCGCAGTTCCAACATTAGACATGAAAGGTATTAATTATTGCCAAACTCACAATGAAGTGACACTCAAGTTGTTATTATTTAATCACAGAACTCATACAAATGAGCGTCCTTTTACCTGTTCCACATGCGGGAAGGCCTTCTCCTACTCAAATGTGCTAAAGAATCATATGTTGACGCATACGGGCGAGAAGCCTTTTGTGTATGTAATCTCAATATTATTAACCGATTAGAAATACTAAAAAACATCATTTCCATTTCAGCTGTTTGCCATGCAATAAAACTTTCTCAAGAAAGCACCAGCTTGAACAGCATCTCGGTACCTTGACCCATAAGCAAACGGCGAATTCTCGTCAGGCGGCGGTTGACATCAAATATCAACCTCAAACTCAAATGTATTAATGTTCCACATGCCTTGGATTAATTTAGCAATTCAATTTTTCGTATAATAAAGAGTACAAATAAATACATAGTATGTACTTAAGATCAGACAGCTCTAAAAGTTTTTAAAAACGGTACAGGCGCCTTATATGTTAGTATGTTTTCATTTCTTCTATATTGATGTACTTTAACTCATTTCGTTGACGACTGTTGTTTAATAAGTTTGATCCAAAGAATATAATTTCGTTGTTTATGAGTACATCTTAGCAAAAATGTTATGTTTATTTACTTATAACTGAGTACATACACGTGTACAAGATTGACGTGCACGTGATAAAAATGGAAAACATTTGAAGAAAGAATAGCAAATGGTTACACACGAATGGAACTTCAAGTTTTGTAACTGTTCCAAATATTTCTGCAACTTCTATTCTTGGACACTTTTGCATTCTTGCAAGTTGTGGATTTGAAAACGGGTTATTACGTATGGTTTGTTCCGTAAATTTGGCATTAGGGTCTTATATGTATGTGTCGGAGAAGGGTTGGATAATTCGCGCGGCGTGACGCGCTGTTCGGCCATTTTCTTTACGTGAGCACAGCAATTCGCACTGGTAGTGTTGCCTTTGACTTCTTGAAGCAGACTGACTTGCATCACTGCTCTCTCGAGGCTCGTTGTCTTACTCGTTCTACTCTTCCTTTTTGTTCTTTGACATTTCCTTTTCTCAACTGCCTAGACAACAACAATGCGCTTTGCTCGGCTAAGGCAATATTTGCTCTTAAACCCTGCTCTTATTATAGCCTGCAAGCCGATCACATGACACATTCTCTTTGTATTTGTTTTACACACAACATCATTTAATGATTTACATTTCTTTATTTAGTGTTATTCTTCTACACGGCCTTCCTGGCTCTTACACGTCCTCGTGTAGTATCTTATCATAATGAAATTAGCAAAACAAAACTTATTCAAATAAAACTTATTCGAACAAAACTTATTCAAACGTCGGCTTCATGCCTTGCTCAATATTTTTTTTTTTTTTTTTTTTTTTTTTATTATACTATATATAGTCAATCAATTCAAGTATTGCGCTTCAATTTACCATAAGTTTATCGTTACTTCGTTTATTTAACACTTCTTTGCAAGATGTGTCTTCAAATGACGGTTTTGCAGGCATTCACACACATTTGCGGCTGTGCCAACCAGTAGCTCGTACTCTTCTGCGAAAACCCGAACATCTGGATATCTCTCTATCATACCACAACTCATGGACTCCACTTGCCCTTGCAACATGATCACTTTAAGTCACATGTTCTCTACCACGACAACCGCGCCGCACGCCATGATAGACACCCTCCGTCTACACTTGTGCCATCGGTATAACTTAGTGGTACGGGCGTGGTCCTTGTGTATGACAATACTACATCGTCACTGGTGGGAGCTTGGGCTTTGGCCAATGCCTTCTTCTGCATTACCACCCTCCACATCTTCCAACTCTGCAGTAACTTGACTATCTGGTAACGGTCGCAAATACTCATGGGCATACTTGTATGTCCTCTTACTTATCAAGGACTTTAATTTATATCGGTCACCATCAAGCACTTCAATCACGACAAACGGTCCCTTAAATTTGGGGTCAAGCTTTGTTTGGTGCCGCTCTTCACTTTTGAGCAAAACATGATCTCCAACCTTATGCTTAACAATCTTTGCCTTATTTTGATCAAATCTAGCTTTATCATAGTTAGCATTTTTTAACATATTTTCTTTGGCCTGCTTTCTTAAACAATCAACATCAACTTTTTCTTCATTTATCATTGGCACTAAGCCTAGTGGTCTAGCCTCTTTGCCTATCAATAATTCCAATGGACTAACTTTTGTTACTCGATTTGTCGTGCAATTTATGGCCAACTGTACTTCATCTAATGCTTCTTGCCAGGAACGCTCGCTCGTTTCAACTGCTGTCAGCATATTTTTCATAGTGCCCATTACGCGCTCTACCTGTCCATTCGCACGACTCGCTCCCGTAGCTATCAAATGTAAATTAACGTTTTGTGATGAACAAAATTCTCGAAAAGCGGCGCTGGCAAAGCTCCTACCCTGATCAGCAATAATACGCGTAGGCACGCCAAAAATGGATATTGCTGATTTGACCGCTTTTATACAACTTTCCGTGTCCAAATTTAATGTGTGATAAAAGTAAACAAATTTAGTAAATGCGTCTACTTGTACTATGACATACTCCTTCAAATCGTTTTTGCCACTTAGTTTGCCACTTATATCAATGTGTATTGTATGCCACGGTATTTCCACCTTGGGTATCGGATGCATTTCTGCCTGAATCTTGCCCGAGGATGACTTTGATACCTTGCACGTTATACAGTTTTCTACAAACCTACGCACATATTTTGACATATTCTCGAACCAATAGTAGGTGTATACCTTATCTAATGTTTTCTCCCAACCTAAATGCATTATGGCTTCGTGTACGTGATTTATTACGGACCACCTATATGCTCTTGGTACCACTGGCAAGCAGCGCGTTCTACCATTTCTTTGAATCTTTCTATGCAGTATACCAGATCTCATTTCATACGTTCTTGCCATGTCCTCATTAAGCTCATTATTGTGCAATTTAGAAATTAAAACAGACAAATCTGGATCTCGCTGTTGTTCAGCAATCAGCCAATTGTCAGTCAGCTCAGCCAAGTCTACACGTTTCTCAGTAATATTTTTGACGGTCTTTGCTTCAGCAGGGATAGGATTTCTTGAAAGAAAATCTGCATGCAACATGCGATTCCCTTTCCTGTATTCGACTGTGAAGTCGAATGATTGTAAATATGCCCACCATCTATGCACCCGTGGAGTTAAATCAATTTTGGAACGACTAGCCTTTAATGAGTTACAATCCGTATACACTATAAATTTCTTTCCATGAAGATAATGACGGAAATGTTTAACTGCATTAAATACGGCTAGCGTCTCCAACTCGTACGAGTGATACTTGGATTCCGTACTGGTTGTGCACTTGCTATAATACTCGACTACCCTTGTTTTGCCTTCTACTTTTTGCATAAGTATTGCTCCATAGCCTTCTGAGCTCGCATCAGTGTGCAGCTCTATGGGATACTGTGGATCAAAAATGATCAAAACCGGCTCGTTAGTTAATATGGTAATAATCTTTTGACGTATACACTCGTGTTCTGGCTTCCAATGGAAGCTACCATTCTTGGAGGTGAGGTGATATAGTGGCTTCATTTGCTCTGAAAATTGTGGCACAAATTGTCGAAAGTATGATGCCAAACCTATAAATTGCCTCAGCTGTGTAACTGATTGCGGTTGTGATAACGCTGCCAAGGCATGTATCTTCCGAGAATTAGGTTTAATTTGACCATCTTCGACTTGATAACCCAAATATTCAACATTAGGTTTGAGGAATGTGCATTTCTTTACATTGAAAGAAAATCCGGCGTTGGTCAGAAGTTCCAATACCACCTTTAATCTATGAAATGCCTCTTCTTTAGTGCCTGCTACAATCAAAACATCATCGATGTAAACAATGGCATACGAGTATGCCAGCTCACCCAAGGCACGTGTTATTGCTCGCTGAAATACCGATGAGGCGTTCTTTAACCCGAAGGGCATGGATAAGAATTCGTATTGACCCTCAGCTGTTACAAATGCCGTACGTTCAATTGAGTCAGCATGTATGGGAACCTGGTAAAATCCGCTAGCCATGTCTAAACTTGAAAAATATTTTCCTTCTCGCAGTCTGTTGATTTGATCCGATATCAACGGCAGTGGATATTTGTCTGCTATAGTATTGGCATTTAACTCTCGATAATCAATGCATAGGCGGTCACTGCCATCTTTCTTTTTAACTAGCAGCATCGGACTGGCAAACGGAGAACAGCTCGGACGTATTACATTAGCTTTTAACAGCTCTTTTATTTGTTTCCTCACTATTTCTCTCTCATCTGCGCTAAGTCTATATGGACGCCTTTGCACGATTTTGTTTGGATCTATCAAACGAATTTCTAGTTCACCTGTTGTTACACGACTCTTTGGTATGCCACTTATAAATCTTTCAGCATAATGTTGCCATATTTCTATCAATTTATTTCTGTCTTCATCACTTAATTCTTCATCATTATTTAAATGTTCTAGATAGCACCTATTTGTTGTATCTGAAACAATGTTGACAGCCTTTGTTTTATAAATACTGAACTTTTCAGCGTCCATGGCAACGCCGAAGCCAAGGCTCAAAATTTCACGACCAACCATTACATTGTGCTTTAAAAACTTATCCAATACTACATGAAATAATATTTCCAGAGTATGCTCACATATTTGAACAGTCGTATGAATTTGTAAATTACTATACACGGAATTTTCACCAATGCCTTTCAGCATAACTGTACTGAAAATTCTCTTTCCAGCAAATTTATTTGCCATTTTCTCTTTTATCAAAGAGCACTCGGCGCCCGAGTCAAAGAAGAATGGAATGAGCTCACCAAATTGCAACAATAGTCCCGTTGGTTCCATTACTGTGCAGACATCTACTCGCTTCTCTTGTATGTTGCTTTTGCTCGCTGCTTCTAGTCCCCGTGTGCACATCGTTGAAATGTGGCCAGTCTTGCCACATTTAAAACACGTCACTGCGCCTCGCTCTCTCGCTGTTGCTGAATTGCTTTGCATCTGGTTTGTTCTCGGTGCATTTCTCTCGTCCATTTTCCTCTTGCGGCATTCTGCCATTTTGTGTCCAGGTTTTTCACAATAATGGCATTTCATAATAGAAGACGACTTGTACCTTTTCTTCTCGGGGCCAGATGTGTGTTCCGAAGTGATTTGCACGTTGCGTTTACCAAAAGCGTATGCTTTCAACTGCTGCTGGAGCTCGCTTCGTGTTTTGATGTTCGTTGTAAACGCCATACGCTGCAGCCTCGTATCAATTTGCGAGGTATGTGCCAGCACGAACGAGACTGCTATTTCTTCTGCGCTCATTTGCTTCCATTTCGTCATTAGTGACGTCACCAATCTGCTTGCATACACCGATAGACACTCGTTTGCGTTCGGTCGGCCGTTAAGAATGTTTAAGAAAATGGCGGCTGGCGTCTCTATACCCTCGTATCGCTGCAGAAACAATTCCTTAAATTCAAGCCAGGTTATTCCAGCATAGCAAATCTGGGACAACCACTGCGATGCGCCTCCATTTAGGGAGCTGCTAAGTGCGATGACCAATGCACTACCTTCTAAGGGATTTTCGGACATTATCATGTCTGCTGTTTTACACCATGCAGACGCGTCCGCGCTCGTGTCGTCAGGGTCGAACTTTGGCAACACAATTATTTTTTCTTTATGAGACTCTGCATATGGCACTTGCATAACTTTTATCAATTCCATAAAATTACGATTCTGTGACTCAAACAGAGTTCGCCAATCATTGTCAGAATGTCTTTGGGGCGAGGCCGATCCCACTTCTGATGTCGGAGAAGGGTTGGATAATTCGCGCGGCGTGACGCGCTGTTCGGCCATTTTCTTTACGTGAGCACAGCAATTCGCACTGGTAGTGTTGCCTTTGACTTCTTGAAGCAGACTGACTTGCATCACTGCTCTCTCGAGGCTCGTTGTCTTACTCGTTCTACTCTTCCTTTTTGTTCTTTGACATTTCCTTTTCTCAACTGCCTAGACAACAACAATGCGCTTTGCTCGGCTAAGGCAATATTTGCTCTTAAACCCTGCTCTTATTATAGCCTGCAAGCCGATCACATGACACATTCTCTTTGTATTTGTTTTACACACAACATCATTTAATGATTTACATTTCTTTATTTAGTGTTATTCTTCTACATATGCATGTATATGCCTGCTTTCGTTCTATTGCAGGTTTTTGCAATATTCCGCCTTTGGATTGGTTTTGAATTTCTTAACAATCTTAACGACTTCTAAATAGATGACAACTTACTGTCAATCAGACTCGATTAATAATGGTTGAGTTTAATTCTTAAATTATAACGATATTTTTACACGGCCTCAATCGAACAATCCCTCTCTCACTTTATCTCAACATTAAAAGTTATCGTTAAAGTTCAAAATTGTTTTTCTTACGTTTTTAAGTACATAATAATAATATATCGATACGAACAACAAATTATCGATATTTTTTGCAATGATTGTGTCACCTCTTTCTCACGATAAGAATTCATAGTTGCTTGATATTGGAAAGGTGTTGTTTCTGCTTTTTAAAATGAAGCTTCCCGTAGTGTGCCGCACCTGTGATACCAGAAATGCAGAGATTCTTTATAAGCTTGAAACATATACGAAAAAGTTCCCAGAGAAAATGCTTTCTGATCTTCTAACGGAATTAACCAAAATAGAGGTGAGCAACTTTGATGGGTTTCCTATGTATATGTACATAAATACACATGAAAATCTCTTGAGCAGCTTACCGAGTCCTACCCACAGAAACCCCCCCAATGCGTTTGTGGGGATTGCACGCGCAAGCTAATAGGCGCATACTACTTTGTGACACAAGCCCGCGAAGCCAACAGTCTTTTGCTGAGCCACCTTAATCGAAGCGATTCTGGTCCGATTGTGGCTGCTGTCGAAGATTGTCTAGAAGAAGCACCTATGGAGCTATGCCCCGAGCAGCATGTGACAGTTAAGATAGAAGACGACAGGGCCGACAATGACATTAGTTGTATTGAACTGCCTGAGTTTGATTTGATACAACAATCGGATGTTGCAGATGAAGCTGAAGAAGATACGAAAAAGTCGTTTGATCCGCTAAAAATGCTTGATGCTGTCAAACAGGAGACAGATGAACAAAGAGCTTCCCTATTGCAAGATGAGGAGGAGTAAGTGAATATTTTCAAAGGCAGTACCAGTTCATATCAATTTTACAACTTTTAGTTCGCTTGATGAAATGCCGTTGACACAGCGAGTGCAGCGTTGGAAGCAAGAAGAACATAAATTAAAAAAACGTTTTAAGTGCGACCAGTGTCCCAAGAGTTTTAACAAAGTCGAGTGTATGAAGCAGCATAGTGCACGGTATCACAATTCAAAAATTGATTGGTATTCTTGTACATTTTGCATCAGAAAATTTAGTCGTAGTGATGGCTTACAAGCGCATCTTAAAGTTCACAGCAATCCGAAACGTTCATCACATGTTGCAGACCGGAAGAAAGTTAAAGATATCGATGTGAATCTTTGTAAGCCACATGGATTCAAACTCATACAGTGCATGATTTGTCAGAGCAAATATAATAGAATCTCCGAACTGCGACGCCATTTGGAAGCGCATCCCGAGCCAAACATATCTAACATTAGAGAGCGATACAACTTGGAATTAAATGAGCTAAGGGAACTGTTTTATCCTGATTTTAAAGACGCAACTGAGGATCATTTACAAAAGCTCATGTTAAAGGATTTGGGTTCTGGTATTTATCAGCGATTCTATTCAATAACCAATCAGTCTGGCTATGAAATGGATTTGGACAGTTCGGAAACGGACAGCGAAGCCGAACAGGAAGTATATGAGCAAACTATAGGAAAGACAAAAACATCGAGAAGCTCTTCCTATCAATGCGAGTTGTGTGATGAGGGATATCAACGCAAATATCAGCTTTTGGAGCACCAGCGACAAAGCCATGCATGGTCCGAAGTGCCTCACATTTGTGGTCGTTGTGATGCGCGCTTCGTGAGCCTTCAGATACTAAGACATCATTATGAGTCGCAGTGTAAAAATGCTCAAAAGCGTTTCTTATGCCCCAAATGTTCATGCAGATTCCGCTGGAAGCATAATTTGAAGGCACACCTCCAAAAACATCGAGTCATAGTAATAAAATATATAGTTTTTCTTCCTTTATACACTGAATAATATCCCTTATTTTTCGCAGCACACATCACACGAATGCCAACAATGTAATCGGGTTTTCGACAAGAAAAAATCACTGACTGTTCATTTGCTCAGTGTTCATGCTGATCAGTCCAAAATAATCTCGTGTCAATGGTGCCCTCGCAAGTTTTATCGTCATGACTACCTCGTGAAGCATCTAAAACGTCATGGCATTGTAGAGCAGGACATTCCACTAGCAGAGACTTTGATAGCTGCCACATCAAAGCCGAATGGTGTCAAGATCATAAAATGCAAGATTTGCAATGTCCAGTTCGACCGTATAGCCGATCTTCGTGCTCATATACAGCTGGAACTTAAGTTGTCTCTTACTTTGCATCAAAACTACGAATCTCCAAACAACTATTCTATAATAAATGAATCCGGTTTCGAAATGCATCTCGATGACTCCGAAACAGAGGACGAAACACAATCTGAATCAACTTCTGGGTTCTATAAGACTCCTACGCTATATGTTTGTGAAATTTGTAGTGTGCAGTGCCCTCGGAAGTACGAAATGATGCAACATCAGCGCACCATGCATCGATTTGTCAAATTGCCGTATGAGTGCGACCGTTGCATATTCAAGTGTGTTTCCAAGGTTAGTTCAATTGGCAGTCCATCACTGAATCCAATTGTATATAATCTCTCATATAACCTTCATATATCTGCAGAACATAATGGAGCACCATATGCAATTGCAATGCCAAAGTGAGGAGAAGAAGCACACGTGTAAAAGGTGTAGCTACAAGTTTATGTGGCCTGAAAATCTAGAACTACATGTACGATTGCAACATGGCGACAAAGATGAAGGAGCTACAGAACAAAGCGACCCCAATGGAAATAAGGAGGCGCCTGGGACTTCTAAAGGACCTGCAAATGTTGAATTACTGCAATGCCCGCATTGCGATCGAACTTATCAGCTAAAATCACGTCTAAATAATCACATTCGGGATGTACACGTCAATGGGGATCGTAAACGTAAAGAGGCGATGAAAAGATTTCTATGCTCAATCTGTGGCAAAGAGTTGCACTCGGGTGCTAGTTTGGCAACCCACATGCGGAGGCACACCGGCGAGAAGCCCTTTAAATGTGATTTGTGTGACATGGCCTTTCCGCGCTATTCAGAGATGCGCTCTCATCGCCGGATGCACACTGGTGAGAAGCCATATCATTGTACGGTCTGTGGAAAGGACTTTGCCTGGTCCGACAAACTGAAGAGACACATGCTGACGCACAGTGGTCTAAAACCGCACAAATGCAATTACTGCGAGAAGAGTTACCGGCAGTCTAAAGACTTAAATTTGCATTTGCAACAGCACACAGGCGAGTGCCCATTCGTGTGTGGTACTTGCGGTGAGCGGTTCATACAGAGAAGCTCGTTGGAAAAACATCGCATGATGCGACGTCATTTCGATGATGAAGGAGATAGGATTAAGATAGCTATTGAATAAGACAACGGTGGCAATATACATATATACATTGGTACGTAGTTTTATATTTGTGTAATCTGATATAGATATTCACCTTAAAATTAAAGTTTTTGGGGTTTTATTGATACGAGTTTGGTATTTTAAAGCTCATCCGTCGAACCACCGCGTGACTCAATTTTGACTAGCTCCACATCAAAACTGAGAACAGCATTGGGAGGTATTTTACCGCCAGCTCCACTGGTTCCATAGCCCAGCTCTGGGGGTATGACAAGCATTCGGCGTTCGCCCTCACACATGCCAAGAATTCCTTGGTCCCACCCTTTAATTACTTGCTTCGAGCCAAGTGTGAAAGAAAACGGAGTTCCACGCTTATAACTGCTATCAAATTCTGTGCCGTCTTGCAGGGAGCCCTGGGCAAAAACATATATTAAGTATTTTGCTTAAATAATTATAAATTAACAATTTATGTATACCTTGTAATGCACATGAACAAGATCTCCATTTTTTGATTTCCTTGTGCAGTTCTCTACGCGCTTTTTTACTCCAATTTTCACTTTGGGCGTTTCGCAGCTTACAATAACACCACCAGAAAACACGCAAATGAGCAATATTATAAATGAATTCATTTTATCTCACTTTGTTTACAAAAAAGGAAATCTTTAATAATAAAGTTGGGGTTGGCCCGGTTTGAACTAGTTAAAATGACTATTCAGAGGAACTTGTGAACTAAATCTTGGGGTTTAGTTCCTCTACTAAGCTATTTCAATCATTAAATTTTAAATATCACAATGAAGAGTATTTCGGAAGAAAGAACGTTTCCGAAGTTATATAGATAAATGGTAAAATAAATATTCCATGCTAAGGAACGGATGAATCAATTAAATAAGCACAATTGAAGTCAACGACTGATTTGACTAAGGGAACGATTAGATGAACTAAACTACCGAACGAAATGAAGCAACAAAAAGAACGAGTAGTTCGGTAATCGGAAAAGGAACTACTGAACTATTATTGTAAGGCTGATTTTGTTGTACATTATATACAGTTAGTAAAATTTAATTGATCATAAAGCCTATGAAAGTAATTCAGTTGTGTTGACTTATGTCAACAGTTGTGTTCTCTTTTGCATTACCAACGCTAGCTTCTATGAATCTAGAAACCCACTGAAGAAACCGTTAATGAATTCTTGAATTGTATTATCCTTTTTCGTGCCATCCAGTAGGTATCAATAGTTAGGGGCATTTTGTATAGGTTATTTCTCCAATAGTTTTAGAAAAATCGCAATCCACATTAAATTATGCATTTTGTATCCTTCGGGTTTATAAATAGCCATATAATACATATATTCTGGTGGTGCGGACGACTGCTTTCGATTCGATGATTTACTTTGAATAACTTTTTATAGCCTGTACCCAAAGGGTAAAAGGCTATACTAGTTTTGTGCGCATGTATGTAACACACAGAAGGAGGCGTGGCAGACCCCACAAAGTGTATATATTCTAGATCAGGGTGACAAGCGGAGTCGATATAGCCATGTCCGTCCGTCTGTATGAGCGCAAGGATCTCAGAAGGTACAAGAGCTAGAATAACCAAACTCGGTATCGAGATTCCCATAAGCCCTAAGCAGGTCAAGTTTATTTTTTTATTCTGATACACCCCCCACTCCCCCGCAATTCGTGTTTTTTCCATAACTCCCGTAGTTCTTGGAATTTCGAAGCAAGCCCGACAGTAAAATAGCCTGTACTCTCCACAAAAACGGAAAATTAAAAAAATTAAATTATTAAAAAAAAGTGAATTAATTAATTAAGTAATTAAATTCAATTAGAAGACATGTTTATGTTCAGTTTTAACAGCATACATTTACACCACGTGCCTATGCGTGTATGTATGCAGCACAAAGTTGAACCAACGCAGCAACAACAACAGCTGCGGGCAGCGCTGCAAGCAGAGGACGGGCAGCGATTTTATTGATGGCTTTAAGTTTCTTCATAACTGACCTATCATGATGACACTTGGTAAACGGACAAATAACCACGAACTGGATGTATATGCCAAATTTCTAAATTCCAAGAATTACCAGAGTTAGGAAAAACACGAATTGCGGTGGAGTGGGGGGTGTATCAGAAAAAAAAACACAAACTCGATCTTCCTGGGGCTTAGGGGAACCCGAATGCCAAGTTTGGTTATCCTAGCTATTGTAGTTGCCGAGATCGTTGCGCTCATACAGACAGACGGACGGTCGTACGGACAGACGAACATATCTATATCGACTTGTCTTGTCATCCTGATCAATAATATATATATACTTTGTGGGGTCTGCCACGCCTCCTTCTGTGTGTTACATACATTCGCACAAAACTAATATAGCCTTTTACCCTTTGGGTACAGGCTATAAATAGTAGTTACAGAAGGAAAGTAATTCTACTTAACAGCTAATTAAGCATAAAGAGATAGAGTAAAAGGGAAATCTCCAACCCGGTCGGGGAAAATTTAAAAGCCAGTGCGGCAAGCTATGCCCCGACTCACAGCAGTAAGTGGTCAGAGATTTCCACGGAGATGCCTATAAAGGATAAATCTTATAGAAGAGAGAGTTCTGTTGAAAGCAAATGGGAAAGATCATTGTAATTATTCAATTCATGTAAATATATTATTCTAAAAGTGTAGGAAAAAATACATTTTAGGGCAATCAAAAGCATACAAATATCCTATAGCTGAACAATAACATACGTCTTTTAACCCCTAGAAGCTAATGAACTGGCAGAAAAAGCTTATATGTATATGGGAGTTACTAATACCAGATAAAGCGCTGCTGTTTTATAAGAGTATAATACCTTAAGTAAAATAATAATACAACCATTATGAGCCCAGTATTTATTTAAAACAAATCAGTAGTAATCAATATTTAATATGTTTTATGCTTTAAGGTAAGTATTATATTTTCCAATTGCACTTTTACACGAAGTACATGGGGTTACGATCCAAGAAGTCTGTTTTAATCAATCTTTTTTGGTACTCTTCTTTCGGGGAACGGAAACCCTTGGCGCTAAACAAAAATGAATCAAATATTGAAGAAATCACAATTATTAATTTAACAAGTTAGCTTACCCGCCTAAATAGACGCGTCCACGAGCCGCCACCAAGTGTGCTAAATAGGCCGGAGCCGGATAGGACACGGCGCGATTGCAACGAGGAAACATGTGGCATAAATTATATGTCAGCTGTTGCAACAAATCAATGTCTAAGTTTCCGGTGTCCTCGATGATATTATAACGTGTCGGCTTTGCAGTGCCCTGAATAGATTGATGGCTGACCATGAAAAACTGTGGTTCATTGGGATGCACAATAACCCTATCTACTATAGTTCCAGGTTCCACGTTGTTAAACTTGTTGCGATCAGTTGGTTGGCCATTTGGGAAGAAGCGAGTATGGTGGCGTTTAACAACAATGATGCAAGTCAATTTTGGTGCGAATTTAAGCTGGGAATAAACAAATTTAGTGGAAAAATTCAACTACCACATCTTCTTTACCTTTGCGCAAGCCGCATTAATTGCACGCAATTCATTTTGTTTGACTATTGGGAATTGTCCATCACTAACGCCGTCCCGATAATAGATAATGTGGTCCGGATAGCGTTTCTGGTATTTGCGATAAATATTCAAATGCTCAGTAACAATGCTTTCCATATCCTCTATGTTTTCGACGGTGGAGCGCTGCAAACGGTACTGCATGTTATAGCAGGCGCCGTAGGTGTCATGAGAAGCAGCCACGCCCACCACACTAGGGATTTCCCGCTGATCGGGCGAGGGATGTGTCACATCTGCGCCTAAATACATAACATTCTGAAGTCTGATGTTCGGATCGTCCTTAATCTTATGATTTGTTCCGTTCAGTTTGGAGTTAACCTTAAGCAATACGTTGCCGATCAATTGTCCATTAAGGCGTCGTTCGACGTTATTACTTTTAATGCATTGGGTTAATATGCCATGTTTCAGCTCAGCTTTTTGCTTAATAGTATGGTAGGGGACCCCGCGATTTGGTATAATAACAAAGACCAAATCTGTCTTATTTTCTTTAAGGTCTGCGAAATGTTTATCTAATGCGACATCATCAGAAAAAGGCCTGATATCAGGCTTAGCTTCCAATTTAACGTTAACAATCCGAGCATTCTGCAGTACCTATAGATTAAGTAAATATTTATTATTTGAATTAGTTTACTACCTAATTCATGTTACAACTCACCATATCAGCTAAATCCATAAGTTTGTTATACGGCATACGATCTGATTGGCAATGTAGAATGGCCCATTTATGGTCTCTTGGATTTGTGACAAGAAAATTTTGTCGCTTCATCATACGCCACGACCCATTGAATACTGGCTCCATTATCTTAGAGTTGTACTCTATTTGTGGGGATTGCAGAAGCCTAGTTGGCACAACAATGAACTGCAAACCAATTTGTATACCAAAGCGGCAAATGGTTGGATCCGAGTTATGTTGGAAGTATTCGAGTAAGTCAACAATTTTTCTCTTGCGCTCGTTCGTGGATGTGGCAGCGTACTTAATCATTTGTGCAACTTGCCTTTCCCCGTCTTTACGCTGTAAATAAAACTATGGATTGGGAACATCCAATGTAAGGAATTAAGTCTTGTACTCACGTTCAAGGCTTGCCCCTCCTCTATGGAGCAAAATTCCATTGGCAAGTATATGTTTTTAGCAGGAGGCCCAACATGGAGACAATATAAATTTGGGAACTTTAACGGATACCCTCGCTTCCGGAAATAGTCCGCTATTGTTATGTTTTCATTTTCATACTGAAATTTCTGTTTCGATGCAGGGTTGAGTGTAAGCCCATTCACCTTGTACAACCGGGGAGAACTGCCGAAACAGTCTGGCGGCTTATACACAACGTTAATGCCTTTAAGAAAGGGCATAATAGAACGCATAGAATTTGATAGATCTGTGTTCGCATTGATCTGGTTTCTATAGCCATATTTTTCCAAATATTCGATTACTGATAGAGCAATAGGAAACGACTTGTGCGATATATCAACGTTTACGCAAGGTTTATCGCCTAGCACAAGCGTTTGATAAAGACCAACCAAGGCCTCGTAGCCATCAAACAACTCTCTTCGTGGTTCGTTTTGAGATTTTTTAAAGAAGGATCTGCCAGCGCGTATGGCTTTCTGATGGCATGGTGCCGCCAATACTACCTCCAAGCATTGCAAAGCACGCATGGGCTTATCATAAATTTTTGATGTCATATAACTGAAATATAAATTTTATAACAATTAGGTCAAAAAGGCCTATCGAAATCACTCAATAGTATCTGTGAATAGTGGTACAAACCGTACCTTCTGAGTGAGCTAAGGTCAATTTCAAAGTTATCTGTCTCTTTGATCTCGATTGTGTAGTGTATTCCGCGACCATTGGGATCCATTACCTGTATTAAGTACCATCATAATTGAACATTGTATTAAAATCTGGATTCTTCGCTTACCTCAACTTCCTTGCCTACATTAAGAACAGAAAGTTTGTCGACAGAATAGCATGAGCTTCGTCCATCGAATGCAGCCACGAGCCCACCGAGATATTGAACGCGAAATTTTTCAAAGGCAGCACGGTAAAACTTTTTTGGTCGTTCAGGGGTAATTTTTACATCATAATGATAGGCTGTTGAGGGCATTTTAGCCATATCAATATTTAAGTAGTTAGCTTCTACTTGACCAGGTCGTCCAATAGTTCCGCGCTTAATAGGGCCTGTATTGGGTAAACTTTTAACTATGGCACCAGCTTCTTGTCGAATTAGCTGCTGTCTTTCCTGTTGCTGATGTTCACGTTGTTTTTGTTGTTGCGGACCTCTCTGCTGAAGCTGTGGTTGCTGCTGTGTGGGTTGCCTCCATTGCTGCTGAGGTGGGCCACTTTGCTGCGCTTGCCGCTGCTGTTGAGGTGGACCACTTTGCTGCGCTTGCCGCTGCTGCTGAGGTGGAGCACTTTGCTGCGCCTGCCCCTGTTGCTGAGGTGGACCAGTTTGCTGCGCTTGTCTTGCAGCTCTCTGTTGAAGATCAGAACTGCCCCCGGGGCCTTGTGGGACATTATCTGGTTGGTCACCAAACCCAGGTTTTGGTTTCGTTTCAACATCTATAAATTTATTAGAGTTGTTTTGTTATACAGTGAAAACTCCCTTAATGGACACCTCTTTTATCCGGGCAATCTCTTCGGCGGACACTTTTTCTAAAACATTCGATCGGTGTATAAAGTATTTTAGTATCCCCTTAAGCGGACACTCCTATTTGGCGCACAATAATTGGACGACAGTGACTGTTTGACCAAGAGAGGTTTCACTGTAGTTCAATCCAATACTATAACGTACTTCTTAGAGGAATGACGTGTTCCTTTTAATCAGCGAAGTACTAGCAATGCACTGTTGCAGTAAAATTCACACACATATGCATGCATACATACGTATTCTTCTAGAATGCACGCATACTTACATAAATGCATACGTATGCATGTAGAATCATAAAATCTTTTAATAACTTTTTGATAACTTGTACTTCCCCGCAAATGAAACTGTATGTATGTTGTATATGTATAGATAAATTTCTTACCTTTTTGTTGCTGCGACGAAGATGGTTGAGCTTGGTCTCCCGCCTCTTTTTTATATTCTGAAGTGATTGTAATATTTGCTAAGGCTGATGAACATTATATTTTCTAAACTTACTGTTTTTTTTTCCCATTTCCGATCTGACAAACTAGGCGCACTACTAAAATGATTTCACGTAAAAATTTTTATGGACTTTGCACTAGGGATGTAAAAACATCGATGCATCGAGAATGGGAAATGTTTTTAACACGATAGATCGATGCTTTGCTATTTTTTGTTGCGTGCGATGCATTGCCGAAGCATCGATGTTTGTTGGGCGGTCACATTTCCTTTTCGGGCTTTCCGGAGAGATATTTTTGTAAGCGTAGGATTGATTTGTTTTTAAAACTGTATATTACAAACAAACAAATAATTTATTTTTAAGTTTTTTAAGATTTTTTATAAAGAGTTATCGATGGACATCAACATCGATGTTGTTTCATTTGACTCACATCCCTAACATGTGTATGACTAATGTTATATCGATAGTAACCCTGTTTCCGATTCCCAAGTGTTAAGATTTAAAAGTACCAGTATATTTTTGATTTATTCATACATTTGTTGGCGCAATTGTAAACCTTTTTTTAAGAAATACTTCTTTTAAAACATTTAAACAAATTGACTTAACGTATCCTCTCTTATGCATTTAGTTTGTATATGTATAACTTATTTTACCTCGTCGAAGTGACGGCGCATCATGCGATGTTTTTCCAAAGTGCTACTTTGAATAAATCGTTCACCACAAATGCCACACACAAAGGGAGACTCACCTGTGTGTTGTTGCAAATGCAAATTTAGATCCTTCGACTGCCGGTAGCTTTTCTCGCAGTAAGTGCATTTGTGCGGTTTCAAGCCACTATGCGTCAACATGTGTCTCTTTAGCTTATCGGACCTAGCAAAGTCTTTTCCACAAACGGTGCAATGGAATGGTTTCTCTCCGGTGTGCATCCGACGATGGATGAGCATTTCAGAATGGCGTGGAAAGGCCATATCACACATATCACATTTATATGGTTTCTCACCAGTGTGCCTTCTCATGTGTGTGATTAAATTTGAGGCTGATTGGGTTTCCTTGCCACAGAGAGAGCACAGGAACTTTTTTTGAGCTTCCTTGCGCTTTCGATCCCCGTTGACGTGGACATCTCGAATATGATTATTAAGTCGAGATTGCATTTGGTACGTTCGATCACAGTGTGGGCATTGTAATATTTGTGCTCCAGACGCACTTGCATCTGTAGTTTGCTTAGACTCTGCAGAGGGATGAGCGTGTATAATTTTAGAGGGAGTTGCCTTAATCATGATATTGCTATGTTGCAGAAGGATGTGCTGCTCAAGATTTTCAGGCCACATAAACCGATAGCTACATGTGGGACAGATGTGCTTCTTATTTTTACTATGACATTGCACTTCCTTATGTTGCTCCATTATGTTCTACGTATAGTAATTGAGATAACTTATACATATATCAAAATATTAGTTTTAAGCTTACCTTTGAAACACATTTAAATATGCATCGTTCGCATTCATATGGTACTTTGTCGAATTGATGCATCGTTCGTTGATGCTGGACCATCTCATACTTTCGACGAGACTGTACATTGCAAATGTCACATACGTAGAGCGTGGGCATCTTACAGTGCTCAGAAGGTGCTTCTGATTGTGTTTCGTCATCCGTTTCAGAGTCTTCAAGGTGCATTTCAAAACCGGACTGATTTGTTATAGAATAGTTGGTTGGAGATTCGTAATTCTGATGCAAAGTTAAGGACAACTTTAGTTCCAGCTGAATATGAGCACGCAGATCAGCTATACGATTAAACTGTATATTGCAGATTTTGCATTTAATGATCTTAACACCATTTGGCTTCGATGTAGCAGCTATCAGAGTCTCTGCTAGTGGAATATCCTGCTCTTTAAAGCCATGTCGGTTGAGATGCTTAATCAAGTAGTCACGCCGATAAAATTTTCGGCTACACCACTGGCATGGAATAAGCTTGGACTCATCGGCGTGAACACTAAGCAGGTGAACAGTTAGGGATTTTTTCTTATCAAAAACACGTTTGCATTCGTGACATTCAAAGGTTTGATTCTGCAATTAAATTTATCATTTACTGAGCTAAAAATTCTTTTGATATTGGTTTTAGTCGACACTTACTGCACTCTTGTGGTCACGGTAGTGGGCTTTTAAATTGTGTTTCCAACGGAAACGAAGAGGGCATTTATGGCAAATAAAACGCTTTTGGGAGTTCTTGCACTGCGATTCATAATGATGCGTGAGAAGTTTGGAGCTTACGAAGCGTGCATCGCAGCGCCCACAAATGTGGGGAGCCTCGGACCAAGTGTGTGTCTGCCGCTGATGCTCGTATAGTAAATATTTCCGTGGGTACTTTTGCTGGCAGAGCTCGCAAAGATAGTTGGTTCTTGTGGATTTTCTACGTATCGTAGTTTGTTCTTCCGTTTCAATTTCTGCTTCAGTCTCTGTCTCCGAAGTGTCCAGATCCATTTCGTAACCAGACTGATTTGTTATGGAATAAAAGCGATAGTATTTTCCGGCTTTCAAATCCTTATGTATACGATCCTTCAACTGATCCAAGCTGAGCTGCTTTTGATCGGGATAAAACAATTCTACCATTTCAGTTACGTTTACATTCTGTTGCTCATCAAAACCAAAAATATCGGGGTGTTCTTCAAGGTGGTTACGCAAGTGACAAATTTTGTCATATTTACTTTGGCAAATCATGCATTGAATGAGCTTATAGCCATGTGGCTTACAAAGATTTGGATCCATTTCCTTAGCTTTCTTTCGTTCGCTGAGGTTTGCAGTACGTTTTGGCATTATGCACGTTCCAATCTCATAATCAGCATCCAGTTTTTTATATTTGTCTTGATTTCTACCAATATTTATTTTCTTATTTTTTTTATTTTTATTTTTTGGTACCCTTTTCTTTTTGCACGTTTGTGCGCGCTGTTGCAAGGGTAAATCATCAAGGGAGCTGAAATAATATTTGTTTGTAATATTCGTAAAGTTTCTACTAGATAACGCTTACTCCTGATCATCCAGATCATTGCTAGAAAATCCATTTGAAAAGGATTCTACGTCTGATTCCGATTTAACTGCTTCAGTTTCGGGCATTACCAATGGATCCAAAGACTTCTTGAAAATGTTGATATCCTTTTCAGTCTCTAGTCCTTGCAAAGCTTTGGTTTGATTTGCTGCCGTGTTCAAAAGCTCGGTACAAGGAACGTGTTGGGCTCCTTCCGCGTCGTTATCGGGTTCAGTTTTTATTTTTACCTCTACATGCTGAGCAACGCAGAGCTCCATTGGCATCTCTTGTAAGCAGTCCGGTGCATCCGAACCGATGGGTTTACCTTTTCGCAGATAATGCTTCAGCAGTATCTCATTGGCGGTTCGAGCCTGTGCCACAAAGTTGTAGGCGTTTTTCAACTTTCGCATGCAGCTATCACACAGTTTTTGGGGCAACCCGTCGGATATCGCTCCAGTTAGCTGCAAATGTGTAGATAAATGTTAATTTGGTGAGATGTTAAAGCAACAGATGGATTTCTAGATTATTTACATCGATTTTCGTCAATTCACTGACCAGATCCGCAAGGTGCTTACCACCTTCAAATGTGGGCATGTTTTCAATTACAGCGGACAGCTCGTGCAGAGTATGGGAAAACACCACATCACAGGTGCGGCAGATAGTCGGCAACTGCATTTCAATGGGCGTATTCTCCCTTTTCTTTAGTTTGTTTATGCTTTTCAATGAACAAATCAACATACACACATACAAGTATGTTTATGTATATATATACATATATACGTAAATACCGTGATGAACTTATAAGTCAGCCGGTGCAATATTGTTGTGAATGGCAATGATTGGAGGAGCATCGAAAACTATCGATATCTTCACGTGCGAACGTTATTATTTTATTAGTTGTATTCCTAAGATTGCTTTATATTTTAATTAAAAAGTCTATAGATTGATCTCAATCAAATGAATCAGAATTGTAAGCTATTTCAAAGCATCGCACACCAAATAATCACAACCATTAACAACAGATAAAAAACAAAAGCAATAGAACGAACGCTTTGTCGACTGTTTTGGTCGGTTTTATAAACAAAAAGGCATTTTAGACCGCAGCTGAAATTAAGTATGTACACAAAACTCAATTGGAATTTCTATATTAAATACTGATTTATCAGAGAAAAGTTGGACATCAGATATTTGTCTCCTTCCTGTTTGTTCTTAATTTGGGGTTGCTGAAAGATCATTAGTAAAATCATTTTTATAAATATCGAAATATAAAGACATTTTCAATCTCTAAAATACTTAAGCTTTATCATTCATATATTATAATATTCTAATAGGAACAACATAAATTTAATCCAAGGCCAATAACGTCTGTACTAGACAGCAACGCAAACTGGCAGCACTTTGTATTCAGTGCTCTAAAACGTCAATCAGTAGGCAAAGAGTGGCAGTTCCTTCCGTGTTAACTATTTTTGGATTTTAATTAAAATTGCAGTAAAATGACCCAAAAATGTGAGACAACGAATTGTGGAAAGGATGCGACGCTGCAATGTCCCACCTGTCTAAAGCTGGGCATAAAGGGCTCATTTTTTTGCTCACAGTCTTGCTTCAAAGGATACTGGAAGGAACACAAGGTGATACACGCTTTAGCCGGTAAGTGCAGTCCATCTGGTGAAGATTGAGAACTTGTGTGAGTGTATTGGGAGTTTTTCTTCACCTATCCCTTTCACACTACATATTTGCTACTCCTTCACACATCGGTGTACACTTACACACATATGTATGTATGTACATACATTTTATATACTTGCTTCATGCTGCTACATTTTTTTTTTCAAATATTTATACATACATATCTGTTGATACTATTTTAATTTATCATCGGTAATGTTTTTGCTTAATCTATTCAAAACAGGTGGTGTTGAGAAACCAACTGGTGATGATAGCGTATATAATCCTTGGCCACGTTTTCGATTTACCGGCAAGTTGCGCCCGTATCCTCAAACACCAAAGCGGGGGGTACCTGAAGCTATTGAGAGGCCGGACTATGCAGACCACCCAGCTGGCCGTTCTCTGTCCGAGGAAGCTCTGCGTGGCACATCGATCAAGGTGCTAGATGACGATGAGATTGAAGCCATGAGGGTTGCTGGACGTTTAGGGCGCGAGTGTTTGGATGAGGGTGCTAAGGCTGTAGAGGTTGGCATCACCACCGACGAGCTGGATCGCTTAGTGCATGAGGCCGCCATTGAGCGTGATTGCTATCCCTCGCCTTTGAACTACTACAATTTTCCCAAATCGTGTTGTACATCGGTTAATGAAGTCATTTGCCATGGTATTCCTGATAAGCGACCATTGGAGGACGGCGATATTTGCAACATTGATGTCACGGTATATCATCACGGGTTTCATGGCGATCTCAATGAGACGTTTTTCGTAGGCAATGTTTCGGAGAAACACAAAAAATTGGTGCGTGTGACGTACGAAGCCCTGTCCAAGGCAATCGAGTTAGTGCGACCGGGCGTCAAGTATCGGGAGATTGGAAATGTCATACAGAAGTATGTGGCTCCTCACGGCTTCAGCGTGGTTAGGAGCTATTGCGGACACGGAATACATCGCGTTTTTCACACTGCCCCTAATGTGCCGCATTACGCCAGTGAGTCCATAATTTGAACACAACATTTCCCTCTTTAGCTGCTATATTAATTTTCTCTTTTAAGAAAACTCTGCCGTGGGCGTCATGGCAGCTGGCCATTGTTTTACAATCGAACCGATGATATCGGAGGGTGTACAAAAGGCTGAGTCCTGGCCAGACGATTGGACTGCGGTCACTGCTGATGGTCTCTATTCAGCTCAATTCGAGCAAACTTTGCTGGTCACCGAGAACGGTTGCGACATTTTAACGAAGCGTCGCGAAAACAATGGCCAACCCTGGTTCATGGACAAATTGTAAAGAGGCGCGACTAGAAGTTGCAGCTTGATTTTTAATGTTTATTTTGGTTGTTTTTAGCAATTAAATATAGCGTTTCTATATCAAAGTCCTACATCGTTATATTTGTATGTCAAGTTTATTTCTCGAGCGGAGCATAGTTAAGCAGCTTCTCGATCAGATCAACGTGCCCAAGCAACATGCGTCGGCAGCAGTAGCGCTTTAGACCCAGGGCGTCGAGAGCGTCACTATTATTTGTGAAATCCAATATTAGCAATATTACAATTAGTGGAAGACGGAGGCAACTTACCCTTCTGTATATTCGGCTTGGAGGAGACCCAGATAGGACTCCCATTTATTGCCAATGACTTTGCCACAGGTGAAGCAGCGAATTGGTATTATCATGCTGTAATGTACGACTGGTTAGGTTAAATATCTTACATATTTACAACATTTTCGCTAAGGTACAATGCGCAAATATTAGTTTACTTACCTTATTCCTTTTTATTTTTTTTTGCTATTTCATTTGCTATTTTATCAACCCGCTTTCCGGTTAGTTCCGTTGCTTGCAATGTTTTGACAATATTAGAGATGAGAGTGCATTTACACGTGTGTGACTTTGTCACGATTGAGTCAGTGCGTTTACAGAAAACAGTGACCCAATTATCGAAAGTCGTCCATAAAAACAAAGAAATTCAAAAATTTATAAAACACTGTGCAGTACCAGAAGATGCCGTCAGCGGAATTTGGCCGAGACCATGTTAAAATTGGTAGCAGAATCAACGTTTACTTCAACATACGCATTGCATTTAAATCACAGGCAATTAATTAATGAAGCTTACAACGTAGCAGTTTCTGACGATGCCGCCTCCGAGAGATACGAGCTGAAGTCGGAGTTGTTTCATTTCCAGCCAAAACATCACTCTGGGCAGGTTGAACAAAAGAAGCGAAAACGCAAGGCTGATGCAAATGATAAAGTCAACCCTGCCAAAGAAATTGAGATCCTCAAAAAGTATCTGCAGAAATTGCCTAAAGAGAATAACGTTAGCATATTCGAACTCGAACGTTACTGGGATGAAGCATACACCTTGCCTCAGCTCCACGGCTCGAACTCTAGTGGCATATTTCAAAAATTTCAACTTGAAGGTGCTACAACATATCTCATACCCCCAGGCGCAAGCTTTTTCAACCATAACGTTGAAGAGCTGCCAAAGCTACTCCCACAGTTGCTGCCCAACTATGACATAATTGTAATGGATCCGCCGTGGAGGAACAAATACATACGGCGAGTGAAACGGGCCAAGCAATCACTTGGCTATGCGATGCTGGACAATGATCAGCTTCGTCTAATGCCTGTAGATAAGCTTATTCATAAGCATACACTGGTTGCCATATGGTGCACTAATGCAGAGCAGCATCAGATCGCGTTAGAAACGCAGCTTTTGCCGCGCTGGAGATTAACACTGCTACACAGACTGAAATGGTACAAACTGAATACGGCGAATGTACTAATTGGTGAGATTCGTGAAGGCAACCAAAAACAGCCCTTTGAAATGCTATATTTGGCGTGTCACAAGGATAGCTTTGACCAACATTCTGCAAGCCTGAAGGATGTTCAATTATTGTTGAGTGTGCCGAGCATTATACATTCACATAAGCCGCCCCTTTTTCCGTGGTTACGACAGCACGTACAACATGTGGTCGGAGAGTCCACGCCCACCTGTCTAGAACTGTTCGCCCGTTACCTACAGCCGCAATGCACATCTATTGGACTCGAGGTGCTGAAACTAATGGATACGCGTCTTTACAACAAAATCGAATACAACTAACCGATGTGACTACGAATACTTTAGGAACTGCATTTTCTATTTGTATGTATGTTATACACAATGGATCCCAATATTTAATGTCCACAAGTTCTCAATAATATCGATGTCTAGTGGCTAATGCCAAATTAAGACACTTTTTGTTTTGTTTTTGTTTATTTGTGTACTGTTAATGTTAGAGAAAATGCATCAAATTATAGGTATGTGATTATATGGGCAAATGTCAGCACTGCAAACGCCCACCCAAAATGTTCGACATTAGTTGTGGGTGCATGTGTGTGGGTGTGTATGAATTATATTAAGTGTTAGAAATTAAGTATATTAATACACAACGTTTATGGTGTTTGTTTATTCCTGGCCTTGTGCCATGGCCGCCGGATTGGTTGGCTCGTTGCCACCACGCTTCTTTGAGCCGGACACAATGTCATCGATGCGCAGGAGCAGGATGGCTGTTTCAACAGCTGTTTTATATGTTTGCAGTTTGACGGCTAGAGGCTCCCAAATTCCTTTGGCATTCATGTCAACAATTTCGCCAGACTCGCCATCGATACCCCAGGCGCACACACCATCGCCGATATAAGATGCGTGCTTGGCGCGCAATGCAGTCAACGCGCGAATGGTGTTTGCGCCACAGTTCTGCGCAAGTGTCCGAGGAATAATCTCCAGGGCATGCGCGACGGCCGTATATGGACCTTTGACCTGTTTACGCGTTAGCAACTGCGATACAGCCATTTCCACAGCACCACCACCAGCTACCAGGCGCGGTTCCAAAACCAAGTTGCGGGCCACGTGTAAAGCATCTTGCAAATTGCGCTCGGTTTCGTTAAGTATGTCCTTGGACGCACCACGCAGCAATATGGTGCAAGCCTTAGGATCCTTGCACTCGGTGACGAACGTAAAGTACTCATCTCCAATCTTCTTTATCTCAAACAGACCGGCACCGGTGCCCACGTCCTTCTCCGTCAGCTCTTCTGTGCGATTGACAATTGTGGCACCGCATGCGCGCGCAATGCGCAAATTGTCCGTCTTACGCAACCGGCGTATGGCTGTAATTCCAGCCTTGAGCAGATAGTGCTGAGCCAAGTCGGACACACCCTTTTCTGTAAATACTAAATCGGGCTTGACGGCAATAATATCAGCGCATACACGTTGCACAAACTCCTCCTCAATTTGCAGCATGCGTGTAAAATCCTGCTCGCCGATGATCTCTACATTCGTTTGACTCTCGCCCTTCTTGTATTCAAGCGAGCAGTCGAGCAACACAATGCGAGGATTTTCAATGTATCTACGCATTTTTGGATGAGTTACATCCTTATTGATCATGATACCCTTCAGCACGCAGGATTCCTCGATTGCACCACCGGGTATCTTTTCCACTTTGGCATATCTATATTGGTGATTAATCATTGTGGAATTTGAAAATAATCGTGTTTGACAAAAGTTTGCCTTACCGCTTAATATCGACTTCCAAGCGTCCATTTTCGTTTAGAGTGACTGTGTTTACAGCATCCAGTGCAATTTTCACAGCCAAACTCGACCATTTCCCAATAAATTTGGTGCCCACGCATGCCTTAACCACTTCCGCCATTTTTGCTTTGTCCTTTACGTCCAGTTGTACACTAAGGTCGGACTGCAAATGCCCCACAATATCCTCCAGTGCCTCACGATAGGCGCGGATAATCACTGTTGGGTGGATTTGCTGCTGCAGGAAAGGTTCGGCGGCAGCAAGCATCTCTCCTGCTAGCACAATAACTGATGTGGTTCCATCACCCACCTCTTCGTCCTGTGTGCGAGCGATTTCAATCATACTTTTGGCAGCCGGGTGCTGCACAGTGATTTCACGCAAAATAGCGTTACCGTCATTAGTCATCACAATGCCACCCATAGGATCCATCAACATTTTAAGCATGGCCTGTGGCCCCAAACACGTGCGTATAACATCGGCAATGGCCTAAAATTAACGTGAAAAACACACCGATTTCAACAGATGGTCGAATTGCTTGCCGGGTGCTCCGCCAGACATGTGAGTCACAAGCAGCGCACACATACATACATATGTACATATACATGAGTTTGTACATACCTTTCCGGCTTGAATGTTTTCCAACTGCACTTTGCGGCCCGATTCTCTCTTTGTATTTTGACCTATTAGGCATGGATTTTAATGAGACTCAATTTTAACACATTGAAATTTTATTACTTACTCAACACGAGTATTGGCTGCTGTCCACCAAACATTTTATGCAATTTTTAATTAATTTTTCTTGAAGAATAAACGAACTCGTGCGCGGTGCTGTTTGCTGTTCGAAAGAGAATGAGTGACGGTGATTTTTTTGAGGTTAGGCACGGAGTGACACACGATTCGAGAAGATTCGGATACCCATTGTAAATTGCAATGGTAAATGAATTACAAATATATATAAATATATATTTTTGAAATACAACCAGAAAAAAACAATATTTCAACAATTACCTGAAATTCACACAATTTATATGTTATTTTCTTGCACCACAAACACTATACCAAACGATGCGCCTGTCGATAGTCCGACGATAAATATCGCCCAACAACAGCTGTTGCTGCTGTGTTTTGTTTATAAACGTTTTCGGTGGCTTTTACATTATTGCAACGACGCCATGGATGCGAAGAAAATCTCTTTTGGTTTTAGTAAGATTACTAAAAAACCACTTATCTTGGCCACGAAGGCGGTCCACGAGGCGAACAAAGTGGAACTGATAAAATGCCTTGAGGGCAAAGAAATCAAACTTGTGGCGTAAGTTACCACAATATTATAATTTTGGGTGGTCTTCTAATTAAAGTGTTATTTTTTAGCGAAAAGCAGGATGCAACTCCATTGGTAATAGCCATGCCAACAAATCAAAAGACTTCATCGGCCATAGCAAGTCTTATGAAAAGGCGCGCAGTACTTCTCGGCGAGGAGGATGAGGAGCCTGAAGAGACGACAGCAGAACCACAATCAATAGCTCAGGTTACAGCCAGTGCCAATGGAAGTTTAGAAGAAAGAGCAGCTCGAGAATTACTTGCCGCAGCCTTAACAAATGACAATGAAAATTTGGACAACGGCAATCTTGTTCTTCCAGCGCTGAAGGCCGATGAGTTGCCACTAGATGGAGCAAAAGAGTCCTCCATAGATGATTACGAATCGATACCCATACAACATTTTGGGTTAGCCATGTTGCGCGGCATGGGTTGGGTGGATCCACCGCCAAAAAAAAAGGGAACTTTGCCCGCTGACGATGCGCCTTTTCTACGGCCCAAGGGCATGGGATTGGGTGCGGACAAGGCCCTTAAGTCTGCTAAAACTCTTTTGGTCCAGCCGGAGACAAACGAAGTTTTGGAGATAAAAAAGAAAGCCTTTGTGCGCATATTAGGAGGAAAGCAGAAGGATCAATATGGACAAATTGAGGGCTTCGACGATCATGCAGGGCGTGTCATTGTGAAAATGGCTATTGGTGGTGCTCAGGAGACCTTCAACGAGTTTCTCTGTCAGCCGGTGTCAAAGAAGGAATTTGCACAGTACGGAAAATGCATTAGTGAGTGTGAAATTAATCGCAATGTTAACAAACCCTTTAGCCAATTTATATATATTTTGTACATTTTTTTAGATACTGCAAAGTATGAGAAGTATAAAAAACATGAAAATGAGCATGGCCAAATCATTGTTAAACAAGAACCAATATCCACGAATAAAACTGAGCGTATTGATCGAAAAGCTTACAAAACAGAAGAACGCTCGGATTATAAAAGGGATGCCCCAAAATTCAGCAGCTCCACCAGCAACAGTCGTTACAGTGATCGCGATCAAGAATCGCGGTGCAGTAGCACTTCACAACAATCAAGTTCCCAAGCTCGGTATAGGGAGGACCGTGGCCGAAGGAGTTGTGAACGGCGACGCTCACGTTCTCCTGCCAAGCCAAGCAGCAGTAGTAATGCAAGCCGGCGTCAGCAAAGCAGCTCTGACGAAGCTGAGGATACGGGCGAATCAACAGAAAGTGATTCGGATTCGGCATATGAGCGCAAACATAAAAAAAAGTCTAGCAGTAGTAGATCTAAGAAAAAAAAGTCAAAGAAACCCAAAAGCAAGTTACACCGTCATCGTCGTAATAGTGATGATTCCAGCAGTGAACACAGCGTGTCCTACGAGGATGAGCGATCAAAGCACAGAAACAAGCACAAGAAGAAAACAAAGAAGAGTAAGCATGCACGCTCCAGGACGCGATCAAGGTCGCGAGAACGCGGTCGTGGCAGATAGTAGTGAATAAAACTTGTCACAGTTTTCTTTCATTTCAAAACTTTATGTATTTTAAATTAAAATATCATTAGACTCTTAAGTTTTTATCTTACGTGGGATTATCATTAAATTTCAATTAACTCACAAATTAATCACAAATGTCTTTTGCTGTGTTTTCATCTTCTACCTTCGAGTAACTATGCTGTAATAAGTCGAACTTAACTATACAAATTAAATGAATGCGACTCTGCTTAGGTAGGGAGCAGTAGAACGCTCCGCATTTGAAATATGTAATTCTAAATGTCATTTGGGGAAAATACATACAGACATTTGTATATTCAATATGCGTACTTAGTTGTAGTGATATTTGTAGCTATTTGTGTATGTAAATGTTTGGTTTTTAGTGTTAAATTTCATTGAGTAATGCAAATGGTGTTTTATCGCTTCACTTGCAATTATGGCGATTTTATGACTTAGTTATACAGTTTTATTTTTGGTCAGATGTATTAAAATAAGATGTGATGGCTGCATGAGCATGACGAGATTTCCTAAATTACATGTTTTTGCTTCCGCGGCCAAAAATTCTGTGCCCTTTACTGCAACTTCTTTTTACCGCATTGAATTTTCTCGACGATAATTTTGGAAGCCTTCTCAGTAATCGACTTAAAAACATCCTTATCTTGCAAGCCCGGCCACATCGCCACCATTACAGTGGCTAAGTACATGAGCAGCAAATTGTTAATGATGGCACCAATCCATGCGAGCAGCAACAAACCAAGACTTATAATGATGACAAACTGCAAGAGAAACCCCGACGAAATATGTAAATTTCAAAATGTGTATTTAAAACCATAACTGCTGCTCACCACTGTAGATTTGCGCTCCTTAAAAAAGTAATAGTACCACATTCCCAAATTTTCCTTGATGTTGCACACTTGACCACACACTTCCTCGAACTTTGCTTCAAGCTCTCCATCCCAATGGTCGTTACGAAAGACAATACGAGATAAAGTTGGAAAAATGAAATCCAATACAATTGTCATCAGAGCTAACAACGACAACAGTGTAATCAATGACAAGTCCATATACCATAGAAGAAGGTACATAAAGCTAACACTGCAAAAAACTACTCCGGCATAATACTGCTTCTCCCAGGTAAGCACTCCATAGGCGCCCACAATGGCTGTACGGAATGGTTCCAAGTCGTGCTTCAGCTTGTTTAGGGCACGCTTCTGTAATTAGAAATAAAGTGCAATAACAGGGAGAAGGGTGAATTTTGTGCGATGGCGGCATTTTTTCTAACGATGCACTTTGACTTAAATGCAAAAGAATTCCGCATTATTTATCTGCTTACTTACCTGATCGACTTGTGAATTTTTCATCTTTAATCCTTTTACTTTTTTAGATTGATATCTATCCAAGTATTTGTGCGCTTTTATTTTCCGAGTGAAAAATCAATTCGTATTCGTTTGTAGCTGTCAAAAGCTAACTGTTAGAGACGACACTAAGGTAAAAAGAAATCGATCATTTATATCGATTTGAATAACACATACATTGTTTCTCAATTATCGGCAGTCAAAGCCGAATGACTTGAAGAAAATATACGGCACAAAAATAACTGTTTCTTGTTTATTAGTTTGTAGACTTACACATCAATAAATAAAATGAGTTGCCCTATGAGTTTTGGCGAACTAAACATTCCGTCCTCGCGTGCCTTTTGGGACGACTGTGAGGAAGACGAATTGGACAGCAATCAGGACCCGGAAAAGTAGATAGAGATACAGGTTATTGTGCGGTAGGCATTTGAACTTATAAGCTCTTCCACAGATTGGACCTTAAATTCCAGGAAGGGGCACAAGAAACACCTATTCCTAGCGAACTGTTTGTACTTATCGAAGGACCTAATATAGAAGGCTTTGGAAATGCAGTGATAAAGGAGCAATCTTCGCGAGTCATTTGTGACATACCACCGAAGAAATCCACATCCAAATTAGCCTTCAATGCGTCTAACAAACAACTGTTGGCTGTACTGGAGGACGAGTTGTCATACAGTGGAGAAATAACGGAGCTACTTATACCATACGCTCAGGTTGCCAAGAATGTGTTCACTATTACGCTGAAGCCAAAGGTCGAATACAAGAGCGAGGAAATAAACAAGTACAGCGACGATATAACAATTGTGCGTGGTGTGGATGCCAATTTAAAAGGCGTCATAGAACTGGAGGCACCTAATTTTATTGTTGGAGTTACCGCAGGCAGTAAGTAAAACAAAATGTTTTTTGGAAGTACATATTAAACTACACTGTTCCCTTTACAGTTGCCAGCTGGTGCAAGCAATCCAATCATCCATGTAGCTCATACATTATTTACACCGACAAGTTGCCTTTAGATGAAATAGCTGCTCAGCCGGTGCTAAAGCTACTTCAGAAATTAGGTGTCCCTTGCAGCACAAGTTACACCCCACCTAGGAAAGACGATTCCCACTTGTACTCTTAAAGCAAAGAACAAAAAAGTGGATTAGCTTATTTCTTTTTTCAAAATATATGTATGGTTCAGGCTTTAAATTTGAATGAAAAAATAAACATTTTTAATTACATGCAAAATATCATAACTACACCATGACATCAAAAATGCTAAGCTTTATCTCTCGGCTACGACGATCCATATGGGCTTTAGCAATGGCTATAAACTGAGGCCGAGAGAGCAGAGAATATGCGGGAACAATCAAAGAGGATGCTAGCATGTGGAGCTCTTTGTACCCGCTACAGAACAAATCGATGCCCAATTCCAGGGCAGTACCAAAGTCGCATTCGTCAACAGCAATATTGGCGGCATTAGCAACCGGTTGTAGTTTCTCCAGCACAGCCTGCTTTGCGCTGCTGTCTTCCACTCCATTACATTCCAACAGTGACAGCATCTTCTTTAGCTCCGCATCGCTGACAGTTAGTGGGCGATAGCCTTGTTGGGTCTTGCGTTCAAAGGGAACCACAATTCCAAGACGGTGAAATGTCTTGGCCACCACGCGCTTATTACGCTCCCGTTGCAAACGATCCAATGGAGCCAACTCCACCGAGTTATCACTTATATGCTTCTGCAGTGCTTTCTTTGCAGCCGACACCTGCGTTGCAGAGAACGGTGTACCCACAAAATCATTTTGCAGGTAATAAAGGAAAGCGTCGAATATATTGCCAGCCACAAATTCAAATTCACAGCCACGCGTCATATCATTGCGAGCCACCAGCAGCTTATCCTTGTCCTGTGGCTCGTCGCGCCAGTACCCATAGTGGATTCCAGTGCCGCGACGTACGAAGACTGTTTGAAACTCGGGGGGATCATAATAGAAGCGCCAATGACGTAAGTAGTCGCCCGGCTCACCTATTTTCGCCTTGTGAAAATTTCCCGCTAAGAATTCAAATGGGCCCACAAGCTGTAGCTGAAAAACAGTCTCAATGTGCTTTAGTGCGTCCGCTTTTGTTGTATCCTTTTTTAGCGTATTAATAAAAGTCCAAAATTCGTAAAAATCTGGCGGCATCTCAACCAGAAATTTATGCCTTATGAATTCGTTAGTCTCGCATAGCGAATCGTACTCTTGTTGCACTGAAAGACGTATGCGCTTCTCTAATACTTCCATGTAATTTTTCCCAGCAATATTACTCAATGCTTCTTTGTGCAGCTCAGCTGTCTCTGACTCATATGCACCCACATCCTTTACATGCTCTGCGGGCGGATTGTGATCTTCGTCTATACTATTCCGACTTGTGTTTGGTTTATCTTGCTCTTTCCCATCTGCCTTTCGTTTTGGCGCCACTTTATCCGCTTCACTCCTTTCTCGATCGCCATCTTGATCCTTGGGAGGGTGATTGTATTTTTCCAAATGTGCCTCGTTTCTTTGATAACATTTATCCCAGTATTTACAATCTTGTTTTGGCATTTCTTAATGAGTTCAACACAAATTTTCAGTTTTCTCGTCTTAATAGACAAAGCTAACAATGTTGTAAAAGTTGTTTAAGCGAATAAGATTGTGAAAACCAACTTGCCAGCCACCCCCAACCCCCAAACAGTGCTGAAAAATGTTAAAACGCAGACGGTGCACGTGCGTCTCTTAACACCGTTTTCGCGCTCATTTAACAAAAACAGGTCAGGATAGTTGGATTTTTATTTTTATTATTGTAGTTCATTCAATGAATACAAACACTGCAAAATAATCGAGTGGATGGTTGATTTTTGTTAGTTGAACGACAAAAAAAAGTTCTGCGATTAAATGAGAAAAGACAATGAATCTAGATGCATAAATCTATATTCTTATCTATTACTCCTCTACAGCACACATGACCGAATAGACGCACTCTTCTTTGTTGATTAAATGACATGTTTTGTTGACCAACGACATAAGTTGATTAACATCAGTTGCCCAATTATTCAAAACATCAGAGGCGCTCTTCTTTGTGGTAAAGTATATGATTCCGGCGGGGCGATCTATCTTAACCCGTATTGTGTCGGTGTTGGCCAACTTCGATAGGTACTCCTCACAACGGTTTGTAGGCAAATTCAATAGCTCGCTCATACGCGTCAAATGCAGGCGTGAATAGTAGAGCGCTATAATACGTATATTCTGTATGAGTAAAAATATATAAATGTTATTCAGCTGGGATTGGGACAAAGACAGTACTGTGCCGTCCTACTTACATGCTCAATTAATCGATCTTTTAGCTCAGCAATGCACTTCTTGCCATGTTTGGTGTTATCCTTAAACATTTCGTTCTCGGCTAGCACTCGGCCGAAGTCGGCATTAAATGTATCAAAATTTATGAGCTCTTTTGACATAAATAGACGAAGAATTTCCCTGAAAACATATAGAAGTTATAGAAAATGTATGTATTGTAGCTCACACCACTTACTTGTAGACTGGAACATCCTCCAATTTCTTGTTCTTTGACAAATGCGCCATCATGTCGCTTTGTTCATTGTCGTAAGGCGCCAGCACGCAGTATAGCACAGCGCATACAAGCTTATCCTTAAGCTCAACCAGCTGAGCCTCAGTTAGTTCAACTTCCATTTCAGGCTCAGTGTCGGGCTTTTTATCATCGTCCTCTTTCTTTTTCTTATCATCTTCTTTTTTTTTGTCGTCGGTGGTGGAATCGACGGCTACCAGCGGCTTTTTACGCGGCGGTTCGGCAATAGCTTGATAGTGACGTGACGTATTCAGGAAGGATGTATCGCGATTAAGGTTAATCATAAGGTTGTAGAATTTTAATTTAAGGTCGTGCTGAGCCGGATCATCAAAGAACTTAATACTGATCTTTTTGGCAATTATTTGGGTCGAGACATTGTCCTCCTTTAGCAGACACAATCGCATTTGCTCCAAAATTAGTTCAACTTTCTCACGTTTGTCCATTGAGCCATAGGTCTCCACCTGCAACTCTTCCATAACAGCTGCAGCGCCAACGACATCGCCGTCCGCTTCCTTGATATCGGCCAATATTTTTGTAAGTCGCGCACGCTCAATTTCAACATATATTTTCCCTTCTGTAACCGAGCGCAGCGTATCAATTAGTTTAAGCTTTGTATCCTTATCAGGCGTCTTGTCCACATATGTGCAGCACTCCTGTATCATCTTCACGACGGCCTGTTTTAGCTGCGACCGCCGGCGTACCAGTAGAGAAACGTACTCGTTCAGTGCATTCCAGTTTCCTGCTTCAAAACATATCTGACAAATGGCCACGAGGACTCGCGAGCATGACACCATATCAGCACCCAGACGGGTTTGCTTCTCCAATTGCAGCATCATTTCGACAGCTTCGTGAAAAGAATCCGGATTCTTTTTTGCCATTTCCTTCGCAAATGGAATCTTCTCATTGCAAGCAGGCTCATAGTCTACTTCCATTTTGGTAATACGACCCCCGTCGAATAAATAGGTATCCATTTTGCACTGGAACAAATATCATATATACAAATATCAGTTCATTGTGTAAAAGGGTACATTTATTTTTGCTTTGTTGTTTTGGCCTATGACGATGCATCTTTGCCGCTGTCGGTACTTACATTTGCTTTGCAATGCCTCGAAATTACGCGAAGTTTGTTTATAATTGAAAATTGGGACAATACACTAAATATATGTTATTTTTGCAGTTAATTTTGCTATATTTCGAGCAAGTGCGGCCTATTTCAATATTTTCATGCGATTTCGCTTACTAATGCTGTTAAGATGGCTGCGCTCAATTTACTGTGTGTCAGTGTTCAACAGTTGTTTGGAATACAATGAAAATCATCTCAAAACCAGAATGTTTTCAGAAAATCCAAACTTAACTGAACCGACAAAAAAAAACTTTTGCCAAAATATTAAAAATAAAGCTTTAATCTTAATTCTTAAGATTAAAAAAGGAAGATATTAGAAATATAAGTGTACGCTATACAACACTCGTACAACTTTAGTATTGCACAGCGCCAATTTACTTCTTAACACCATCACCCAGCTTCAGCTGAAGCCTTTGTTTAGCGCGTAAGACTGCTAAAAAAGGGACGAGGAAAAATCCATTGGTATTTTTAAAGCGTGTGCTTGTTTATTTAATTTACGCCATCTTTGGCATAACTTAGCGAATATATATTTGACAGTACCGCTGGAGATTTACACCCTTCCGCTACATCTACAGAACTTTTTTGCGCGCCAATTTGAGACGTTCCATTAAAATGGCACAAATACAGGAATATCAGGATTTGGTGCTGGATGCACTCGAAACAGTAGAGTTCAAATTGAGTGAGTGGTCTTTAAAAACGACATGTACATCGTCCTCATAACATTTTATTACAGTACGAGACAAAGCGGACATCCACAATGATGCGTTGATTTTCCACCCGGCTATGGCCCATCAGATCTTTGGTGAATCCGAAACTATATTTGGTTACCAGGATTTGCATGTGCGCGTGTTATATACGGCAGGTCCATTGCACATCTATCTTGGCATAGAGTATGAGAAGCGTGTAAATGAGATATCTGGCGGCGAAATAAAAGCCGACGATGTTGTGGCCACGATAGCGCAGAGCTTGCCAGACGGCTGCTTCTTTATCAACCTAGACGAGTTTCTTAAGACACTCGACAAGGCGGACAAATTTCAACCATTTGGTGAAAAACTCAGCGAGTATACACATCGCTCTGCAAATGGCACCGAACGCCATTTCGAAATATATCAGTGTGACTATAAGATGTCATCATTTCTTAAGTTCTTTGCTCGCTTACAAACCTTCATACTGTGGTTTGTGGATGCCGCCTCTTACATTGATACCGATGATATGCAATGGTCCTACTTTGTCTGGTAATTAGTATGAATTGATATATAAAGCATTAAACTCACATTTTCCTTATTAATTTAAGCTATGAAAAGTATAAGAACAACGATGATGAGTATCAATACGCCACAGCAGGTTACACCTCTGTATATGAGTATTATGCCTATCCACAGAACAAGCGTCCGCGAATCAGCCAAATGCTTGTGCTCCCCCCTTTCCAAAAACTTGGATTAGCTACAGAGCTGGTGCAGACCATTTACAAGTACTATCAATCGCAGAAGAATGTCATTGACATAACTGTCGAAGATCCGTCAGAAGATTTTCAGCGTTTACGCAATTTCGTCGATGCGCGTCTTTGCCAGGGGCTGAAGTCATTTGCCCGCACAGAGGTGACCAAGGGCTTTAGTAAGGAAATGGTGCGTGAAGCGCGCGAGACTTTCAAATTGAATCCACGCCAGGTGCGCAAAATATACGAGTTACTTCGTTTGTATTACACAAATGTACACGATGATAAGGAATACAAGGCCTACAGGTTGGAGGTGAAGAAACGGCTGAATGCGGTATACTACAAGCAACTGAAGGATATAAAGAAAATGGAGCGTGCCAAAATGGATACTGAGTTCTTACGGAAAAGTGTGCCCAACATACAGCAGCGCATGGAGCAGCTGCAGGAAGAATATTTATTGGTCGAGCAGGACTACAAGAATACAATTCAAAAATTGAGCGCCTGAAAAGCCCGTCTTAATTTTTTCTCAAGCACACTGAGCAGGAGGAGGGGGTGTTGATTAATTTATTGTGTTTTTCGTTTAATAATATTGATTACAAAAACAATTTTGTTGCTATAAGTCTAAAATAGGATTCTTTCGAATAAATATTGAAAAATTACATAAGACTGCGCCTATATTTGCATATGTGTGTGTGTGTGTGTTTGTGTGGATCTGTAAGAGAATTTCCCTTTACTGTCGATTGAGCCAATTGTAAGCGTATAAAAATATGAATGTTTTATGTCATAACATATGTATGTATGCTTAACCAATAAGTAAGAAAGATTTGCGTATTGGAAGTACATATATGTATATATATATTTAATTTAATATTAATTAATCAATAACCCGTACAACTAGCAGGACCCGTACTCCTCCATCCATTTCTCGAAGCGTGTTACATCATCAGCCGAAACGGACTTCTTAGTGCGCTGCATTGCATCCTGGAAGTCCTGCAGCGTTATGGGCAAGTCTACGTCCTCCCGTCGTATTTGCTTGATCTGTTCGGGTGTCCGTCCCGAAATCTGTCGCCTCATGGCCATCATGGAGGCGTCACGGCACACATTACTGATGTCGGAGCCGGAATATCCACTCAGCTCATCGCCAATTAGATTCGTGTTCAGATTAGGTGATAGACAGACATCCCGAAGGCATAGTTTGAGTAAAGCCGAGCGCGTTTCCTCTGCAAATATTCAAATATTTTACATTGATTATAATTAACTATTGACTGCAAAAGTATTCATTGACACTTGCCATTCGGCAGGGGAATGTAAATACGTTTCTCAAAACGCCGCCTAAATGCCTCATCAATGTCCCAAGGATGATTTGTGGCTGCCAGTACCATGATGACCTTGTCGTCCTGCATCGTCAGTCCATCCATTTGAATAAGCAGTTCCGCCTTGAAGCGCCGGCTTGCTTCATGCTCTGAATCGGAGCCCCGTGAGGCGCACAACGCATCAATCTCATCGATAAAGATGGTGCTGGGAGCATAGAAGCGCGCCATTTCAAAGAGCAGGCGCACCAGTTTCTCGCTCTCGCCGCGATACTTAGATGTCAGGGTGGAGGAGGAGACGTTGAAGAACGTGGTGCCGCATTCAGTGGCCACTGCCTTAGCCATCATGGTCTTGCCAGTCCCAGGCGGACCAACCATCAAAACACCCCGCCACGGGCGTCGAATACCTTTGAAGAAATCGGGCATTATAATGGGCAGCACTACCGCTTCCTGCAGTATGGTCTTTGCCTCATTAAGTCCCGCAACGTCTGTCCACTTCACGCCCGGATGACGTTGCAGTATGTCCTTCTCCAAGGTATCGACCAAGCGCGTTTCAAAGCCCAGCGGCGAGAAATGCTTGGTCTTTGTTTTCGGAGAGCACTTGGGTGTGTTTAGAGTGGTCGAGTGCGAGTTGTCCTCCAGAGATGTCGTCGCATCCTGATCATCTGAATTGGAGTTCTCATCCAAGGAATTCTTCTTCCCTTTATGCTTAAGAGTAAGTTGCGGGTTCAGTTTGCGGGCGCGCATACGCTCCACAGATCGACTCTTTCGCACGGCCGCAGTTACAGCAGAGGCTTTAATGCTGCGCGAGGTTCGCAGGCGATCCATGCCAGTTCCAGCTATGGAGGCGCCGCTCAGATTACCACCCACGTTGCTGGCACTACCATGATGGCTCAGGCTGTTAGCATTGCTATTGATAGAGGGGAGGGTGGGCTGTAGTTCTGGATCGCGTCGTCGCAGCGAGGACACCCAGCGATTGTCTTGCTGCTGTGAGGGAAAAGGCATGGCCGTCGAGCTACTGTGCTGCTGCTGTTGCTGATGATGATTGTGGCCAGCACGCGGCTGTGGCGCCACTTCTGTGGATGAGACTGCGTTTTAATGAGCTGCGTCCTCAAGTCTGGTCCGAGATGTATCTGCTTACAAACCTTGTGTGGGCAGACGCTGCTTGCTCCGCAACGTCACATTTCCTCCGATACCCAAACCATTGGGCGCGTTCGCGCCCAGATTATTGATTGGTCTGTTATCGGGAGTCGTTTTCTTTGCATTGCCATTGCTAGAGTTGTTCCCATTCCGCATGGGACGACTGGTTGCGGTGATTTTGGTGAAGGCAAAAGGTGATATGGAGTCCAGTATCAAGGAGTCCATCATGCGCGCCATATGCGACAAGCTTGTGGGTGGTGTTGACGAGCTGGCAAGCAAAAGTTGAGGTTGGTTGATTGAGTATAAAGCCAATTCATTTTTACAGATGAAGAAAAAAATGTAAAGACAATTGAAGAGTCAAGAAGGGGGGTTGATAATAGACATTGATAAACTTGTCCCTTGGAGTAAAGGTCATTTGCCTGTATTTCTATTCCAGCCAGCATTCGCGTGCTGTCCACTTCCATGGCGGACATGCGAACCTTGGTCGCATATATTTGTTTAATTGTTCTTGTCTAGCCACAACGGTCGCTCGTAAATAAGCAAACTTTGTCTAATATTAGTACAAGTATTCTCTTTCTATTCCTAGTTCACCTACCTACTCGCTCCCACACACCCACACACATTCGTTTGCGTTTCTCCGACTAAGCGGAACTTGTACACCTTTCCCTAGGGGCGGGAGGACGCTGGCACATGCCAATGACTTAATACGTATGTGTGTGTGTGTCGGAGGAAGAGTTCATTAAACTTGGAAATAACAGGCAGGTTATTGACGCGCGATGGCGACAATTGTTTGTCGTTCCTATTGTTGATGGATTTGAGAATGCTTCATTACGTTGGTATTAAGCCTTTTATGTTTTCAGCTTTAGGTTGAAAAAATAACGCTAAAAACTATGCTACAATAATTCTTCTCTCTACTACTAATTAAGTTGCCCGTGGGCTTTTGTATTTTTTTCTTATTTTGCTTGTTCCCACATCCGGTTCGGGTATTTATTGTGCGCACGTACATTACATAACGAATTTGGGTTAATGTTCCTTCCTCCTGCGTTTGCCTCAAACTCTGATTAGCGTCAAAAACGGGGCCAACGCAAACTCATAAAAGTTGCACGATTACATTGCTAATCACACAGATCTACTATATATACATGCTATAAATCAAATGGTTTATTTCTAATATATTTCCGTACAGAAAGGCCTAATAAAAATTGAGTGTATGTATTTATTTACAGCCAATGTAAAGGAACATATAAAATTAATAACTAGGATGTAAAATTTTATTGACTTTTGATTGCAAATTTTCAAAAAACATGGAAAAATAGTAGCTCTTGTATAGGTTTTCATAATTTTCGAATTCAGTGCAGTTTCTTTTAAGTACTCGAATGGAATAATGTTCAATTGTTTTCACCAGTAGCTCCAAAAAATAAAATAAAAATCGTGCAGAAAAAAAATTATTAATAGAAACTAGTAGCTGTCTCTGGATTTTTTTTTGGAAATATTTGTAGAGAATTATATTTCTTCTGCAAATTCGGGTACGTTTCTTGTATTGGATTTAGTTACGATTCCAATGTCGTTCTTTCAGAAATTGAGCGAACTTTTCCAAAACAGGAAAATTTATATTTATTAATAACATAATATTTATAATATTAATTTATATATGTAGCTTATTTTCCGTAAGAAAATTAAATATGATTCGCTTTGAATAATTGCAAAGTTTGCAGTACTAACTATTGTCATATTTTGAGTGAGTGTTCTTAATTTACAATATCCAATTTAATGTTCAGCTACTATTCATCTTTTATTCATATTTTGAAAACTTATATTTTTGTAGGATCCCGAAAGTTTATTAGTTTACTTCAGAGCAGGCGTATTATACCCATCTTATTTCAAATAACATAAAATACGTTTGTATAGTTGAAATCACCAGTTCTAAGGATTAACTTTCCATAATTCTTAACATTTGCAGAAAAAGGGAACATTTTAATAAAACTGTAAAAATTTGGAAAAAAACGTATAATGCTTGGAGTAGTTGTGGGTATTAGCCCTCTTTTGCATAACAAATGTGTGTCACCAAGAGGTGTTTCTGATAATTTTTCCGTTGAAAACCCTCAAGCAAAAACGTCAATTTATGCAAATTCCAGCAAATGGTAATTATGACGGGCAAAATTTGAAATAAGTGTACCTTAGGACAGCCAAAGGGGTGGTCAACAAACTGCAAAAGCTTTACAAATTGTTTTAATAGACTGCTTAACATAGGAAAGTAGCACAAGGTGTGGGATATTTTCAGATACCTATAGAAAAACCACTGTCTATATTTGTTTGACATCGAAATGTATGTAAGTAGCTAGTGCCATAATTACCAATGATGTAGATCCCAGAGTGAATGGTAGGGCGTGTGCCTGTAAGTCGAAACAAACGGCACCGCCACTTCATATTCTACATGAACATTGTGTGGGGATTGTGGACGCAGTGCCACGGCGGTTCCGATCCTTTCCAGCGCCGGATTTGAGTTGGTCAGCGAACGTTGTCGCATGAAGGAATGCGAGTTACCACCGACATTATTATTGTTTGAGAGCAGTTGCGGTGGTGGACCATTGCTTCCTTGAGCGGTGGCGGCATGGCCCATCCCAAACCAATTTTGAGCATTTGTGTTGAACATGTTGGCCTCTGTTCGTAAGCCAATATTTCACGTATGAATTTAAAACACAACTTTAAAACAATACTGATCCTAAAGCTGACAATTTTTGCAACACACACAAGCGATTTTCATAGAATCGTGATTTCTTGTTGGCATATTATAATTCTGTTCGGTTCAGACATAGGCGCGTCAGCACGACGCGACGCTTCGAGGGTTGTACGCCAACTGACCACAAAAGTGGGCGAGCGTGCGTCCACAACAAAAAATAACCGACAAATGCTACAAACACAATACTTTAGCCGGCCAATGACTATTTGGCTGGTGGTTAGTTTAGCGTAGCTTGTTGTGTATATGCCTTCGAAATGAGGTTAAAGGAAGTACCTTATGTTGGACGAAGCATTTGGGTGGGTATCGGGCTTATGCTTCGGATTGTGCCATATACATATAGTAAGGTACACATTTTTTATTGGGTATTGTGGCAATTAATTACAAGAATGGTTAATTAAATGTTATATTATTGTACTTTCCTATACCCAAAAATAAGAAATAATTTGTCAGTCAAGAAAGTCGTGGGTAAGGGTATGTAATCTTCGGCTCAGTGAGTAGTTTTCTTTTCTCGCCGTGGTCAAGCGTCGGTGTCGTTAACTTTGCCGTATACACCAAGACGGCATCGATTTCTACAATATACTTGTACATATATGCATAAAACAACAATGATTCCTTAATACCTTGATTGCGTTGTGGTCTGCGGGAAATTTGGATTAAATAGCGCGCTCGCATGTATGAAAATATTTGGGTCTGCTTGCGGTTATTTTAGCATTTTCCATGCTCTCAAATCAAATTACAAGAAAATGCCGGCATAAAAAAAACAATTGCATACTATTGGGGAAAAGAAGAGGAAGGTGAGGAAAGAGTTTAAAACATTGCTTTGAGTGTTCTGTCAATACTCATTGCTTTAAATTGGAAACTGGACGACCTTGATGTCTAATATATGTAGTATATATAAAGCTGGCAAATCAGCTGCATTCAAGGCGCTAAGATAAAAATCGATGCGAGGCCACACACACACACACTCGGACTTATGTTTGTCCTAACGGCTGAAAAGGCACGCTTAAGTGTCCCGGCACGCCTATAAGCCCTTATGAATACGACAGCTGTATAAGCATCCTACTCACCCAGTCCTTGTCATGGGCAGATATGTAGAAGTCGAGTCCACGGTACGAATGGTCGTATTGCCCCTCAGCACAATCTTCTCCCGTGTGGTGCGCCTGTATGTCTCCTCACCGCGCATTTTGTTGTTTTTCCAAAATGTTCCAAAATTTAATATTAAAATATTTTAAATTGATCGTTTTTTGAATTTTTTTTTTTAGCTGCCTCTTTTAAGCCCAATATTGCCAAATGGGATGTAACAACAAATTTTGCGACTGTTTCGTGCACTGAAAATGTCAAAACTGGATGCTGGGAGAGTCCGCTAAGCTTTAACAGAGTGCGCGCACTCCCTATGCTGTCTCATGCGCTCTCTCGATGCGTTTGTCTCTTCAACGCGTGCCAGATATTGCGCAATATTTTTTGAGCTTGCGCTGGTGCAGAGCTGCAGTGCAATGTGAAGCGCCTGTTAACGCGTCAATGCACAAACAAACACTGGCTTAGCGGGCTGGCCAGTGTCCGTTTTTGTGGCTGACCGATGCATGCACTGTGTTGGTAGTTCGATATGTATGTATGCCTGTAAGTATTTTGTTTAACCCACTCAGAACGAATAAATTTATTTTGATAGTATTAAAAATTATGTAAAAATTGCCATTATAAATTACATTAATTAAAGATTGTTTACATTATTTTAAAAAGTCCTTGATGATTTCATTTCAATCAATTTATATCAATTTTTCTGTGTAATCGTATTTTTCAAACATCATTATTGCGATATCAGTGAAGTGAACTTTGCTTAAACACTCAAATTCGAGTAATTATACATACATATGTAGTAGAAATAGGGGCAGTTTCAAAAACACACACAATGTTCAATGTGCGCTCTAAAATAGTATAAAATAAAATCAAACAGCATAAAACAAGTTTAAAATTTGTAGAAAACGCTAATTAAAAACTAGTATCGAAAAAATTACCCACACACATATGTAAATCCACATATACATATATGAACATACATATATATTTATATTGTAAATATATAAAACGTTTCTAACAAACACGAGGCACGTCGAAATGTAAGTAAGCAAAATTGTTTTCTAACTTGAAGTTTTTTCTTTCCATTTGCGGGAATTTGGTGGCTTTAGTTACCTGTCGTCGTAGGTGTAGACCAAAAGTTTACTTTATATATATTATTATATAATGTTAGATAGTTTGTATGTCTGTAATGCATTCATATATAATTTGATAGTTTGATTAAACTTTAACAATAACATTAACGAGCTTTTTGTTTATTTCGAAAATAGCTTTTAAATATTAAGGACTGTCTGTACCCAAAGATGTGCGTGCTAACTTTACAGCTTTAACTGACATTATTGTTTCATTTCCTTTTCCATATTTGTGCACAAAAGAGATACTTTAACCATATCAAATTATTTACAACGAGCCTTGCATTTAATTTGCTTAGACGTTTGGCGAGTATTTGGTGCTGTACACACATTGTATTCTCACTGACTCACTGAAATTTACGTGTGGCAGTGCGTGACTTCCAGGCTTTGACAAGGGTGTAGGCAAAGTACAACGTAAAGCCGTGTATTTGGACGCCGATAAAACAGAAGGCGTACCAAAACACTCCATAGGGAAAGCCCTGAAAACAGAATAACAGATGAGAATCCCAAAGTATAGAGATGTCTTTATAACTCTCAACTTACGCGCCACACGAAAATGTCTGTTTCCTCCAACTCCACGGATTTGTCCATAGTCACAAACTCCCACACATCCGAGAAGTAGTAAATGAAGCAGTAGAGCAACGGCAGAACAGCAAAGACTAGAATGGCAATCATATATTTTTGCATCTCGCGCACCTTATTGCCACGGGCCGCAGATAAGCCAAGGAACGATGTGAGGAGTGATGCCGCCCATACATATTCCCACCAAAGCGGAGGAGGCACTTCTAGCTCTTCAATTTCGAGCACGAAAATGTCCAAACGATCCAAAATGTCCGATGTCAACTTTGCCAACATTACAAAGAACAACAATGCATGAAAAAAAATGCAGTATTTCAGGCGTGATTTATTTAACAAGCTGTTATCGCGGGAAGAGATAGAAGCAAAGGAAAATTGCATTAGTAATGACAGTGCTATTGGTTGTCAAAGCAATCCTTCTACTCCCAATAGTGTACACAAACAAGTGCATGGACATTGTAAACATTGTACACACATGCTGATGCTGACTGTCTAGCTGGCACTTTGCCCAAATGTCTGCTGCTGCTGGCCATACAAAACGTCAACGTCTGGCCTGAGCGTCTGCAGGAGCGCCAGCTAAAAACTCCCTTGCACTTACTTTTATATACTATTCTAAAATAGTATTGGCATAGCTAGGCATTGTCGCGGCCAACATCTGCATTCATTGCGCCGCGTCGTTTTGCCTTTTTTGCTGGCCACCTATAGCTACTTGAAGTAATAGTAATTAGATAATTATTGGTGGTATTAACCTGATTTGATATGTGCCAGCAACCCGTTGCCTGTATTCGAAATCGTTTCCATCGGTGCCCGCAACCATTGGGCCCCCGCGAGATGCCATTTTAGGCTTTCAATCGAATTCCGTTACACGTGTAATTTTAATTTCCAAAAGACGAATGTAGATAGACGAGACCAGTGGCAGTGCCAGTGTTAGTAACTGCACTAATACACCAGCTGATAGTAATTTAAGCAAAACTTCGATAACTTGATATAGATGACAATGTAGTTTTATAACAAGGAGCTTGCGTTTGTTTGATTCTGTTGCCGCCATATTTGAAAATGTCAAATTGTGCAGTTGTTTTGGTTGTTTGCTACAGTTGCTACCTATTGCGTCAATGGTTTAAATTATGGCAAATTTATTACGAAATTAGCATATTGCTTAATTTACTGTATTCTGATGTGCAAATATTAGTACCTTAACAAGCTGTAATTTGGTGGTGGGTTACGTTCTTTACAATTATGTGCTATGGACGCCGGCACCTGTTGCTTGTCGTACGCTTAAATCCATAAATCAATGCATTTGTCGACTGGGAAATGAACGATAACAAAGAAAAGGGCAACACAAAAAGCCTACTGCATTTAAAAATAAAATATATTTTTGTTGTCCACATAGTGGCGCATTCTAGCTCTCACTGTTTCTGCTCACGGCATTATGCATCCATGTTCGAGGCTACAAAAGCTGAAACGGTTTTTATGAGTCTTTAGTTCTCTCGCGGCATTCTTTGAAACAACATCTTGTCGCGATCTGTCAACGCGATCAAATTTTATAAAACGGAAGCACAATTCTGCGTACCATTTTGAATGCTAGTTATTGGTAATTTTTGGATTCCGACGTGCGTTATTCAATTGAAAAAATTAGAGTCGGTTGAATTGAAGTTTTTGAAAAGGTGTCTTTTGTATTAACGGTAAAAATTTATTTATAAAACCATAATTAAAAACTTTTAAAATGCATGAACATGAATGTTTTGCATGTATACTTGTAAATAATTTGGTTATACTTTTGGTTGCACTTTGTCACTCGTGTTACATTATTGTTCGCCTTTGAAGACGACCTCCGTCTGTGTCTGTCATTTTATTGCAGTTGTGGCCAAATAATTTTTCAGAAATTTTAAGCACTCACGTATGCGAGTACCGTTCACCTGCGATGACTTCCGCTCTATGCAACCCCTTTTGGCTTTCATTTTTTTTTTTTTTTTTTTGGCGCGAGATACACTTTTTTAAAATTATAAATGTACCAAATAAGTTTAGTTAATAATAGAATTGAAGATTATTGTGAAATGCTATTAATTAGTTTTCTATGAATTATGCTACATACATACAAATACACATAAAAATAAGTACATATGTACATACAAGTAATTACGTATCTTTACATACACATAAATATGTCATATGTATTTATAAATATTTAGTTTATTCTTCTTTTTGATTTGGATATAGTGCATGCCAAGTGACATCAAAAACGTCACTGACCGTTTGCTAAGATAGTACTAAATAATTTGTCTTCTTGATAAATTACATACTAATTTGTTAAAATGCCTTCCTCTTTACAGTTATACCCCCGGTTCCGGCTCCGTAGTCATGTCCGCCGAGGCAGCTCAAAAGCGCGCCTCTTTCGCGCGTCGCGCTGAAAGTTTGGTGGAGAGGGTGAGAGTTTTGAATACCATATATGAGGTATCAAGTGACCAAAAATCGTGAGATATATAATTTTTGTTAACTATTTATGCGGTTTGTGTTAAAGTTGAACTTTATTTTTTTGATTGTTGTTAGTGTAGATAGCGGCTTGTCGTTAATGTTGTTTTTCTTAATTATTTTTAAGTATTCCCAATTGCATGGTAAACAATTGTAGATTTGTTGTATTTGGCATTAGATTGAAATTTATTTTCTATTTATCGAAGAACTCGTGCCAGCCCGCATAGCTCATAAATAATTGTTGGGAAAAGGGGAAAAATACAGACTGTTAATATAATTTCACACATTTACACAAACCCATAAGCTCTAAGGCACTTGAACTGCACTCGAACTGAACTCAATACAAACATATATGTACTTATGTATGTATATACTTCGATATGTATATGTATATAATACATACATACATATCAGTATAGGGTCAAGTCTTTATTTGATTAGTACGTTGCGTGGGTGTGGACCACACACCCAAACATATTCACTCGCTTGATTGGCTTACTTGTGCTGCTTTTCTTGTATACGGTTTTAATTAATCTGAAATATGTATGTACATACATATAGGAGTATGTATGCATGTGAGTTATTTATTACAGCAACAATAGTCGAACGCAAAACACACAAAGATCAAGGTCATCATGGTCATTGATAGCAAAAGTGTTGCTCTTGCTTTTGCTGCCGCCTCCGATGGGGACGCTGACGATATCGTTGAGACTGTGACTGTGTCTGGCCTTACCCATGGGTCCAGCTACTAGATGGGACTAGTAAATTCAATATTACTTAAGGTTAGACACCTTGACACATTGGGCTACTACTACATACATATGTAGTATTTACAGGAATTTTTCATACGTACTTGTACATATTTATGTGTATTCGTCAATGCCTGCAGTTTTTTCTTTCCGCCCCTACATTTTTCGATGACAAAGCCACAAAAGAAGTGATTTAAAAATGTGGAATGTAACAAGACTCTCCGGTCGACAGCTATAAATAAACATATTGTGCAAATAGCTCCGAATTATGTGGCCATTCTGCAGTATAAATGAATGCACAAAAATAGTCGCCGTATCTTTATCATTTGCACTGGCTGCGACCAGCGCTGCATATTCTTTAGTCTCAGATAAAGCTAGATCAGCAATTGAAAAAAGCTAGAATTACCTAAGCAAACTGATTTTTAATTGTTATCAATCCCATAAAGCAACACTTTCGCTCGATACATTGTTATTATATAAATCATTTTAAAGGTACAAATTTATTCTACATTACAATTTGGGATTAATATCTTAATAAGACATATTTTAAATTACTGCTAAATGATGTAGTAGCCTGATTTGATCAGTTTTGGCTCTACCATTCTTCCTACTCTTCTTATTCTAGAGTCCTTTTGTTATTTGACCTCCAGTCGAAATATCACAATTTTCTAAAACTCTATAGCTGGTGGGAAAATAGCTAAAGGGGCAGCACTGGATACGACTTTAATTGAAGTACGTCAGGCAGTCACTTCAAGCAATAAAGAGTTACATCAAGCTGTTGCAAAGTCGTACATACGTATGTACATACAAACAAATATATGGTCTGTATAGAGTGCAGCATCAAATAAGTACGGCAAAAAATGTGTATATACACACATATGCACGGTTTATATGTATGTATGTATATTTGTTTAACGGGGGCGATGTACGCAGAGCACGCAACAGTCCGTTCACTTAAGCTTTTTGTTTTTGGACTTGGACCACGCACACGTTCTAGCCAAAATAATGGCGATGATTGTTCTGTGTTTTGTGCGGTCAACAGACGGATTCCGGTGAATCGAATGAAAAAATTTCCAGAACATAAATTTAATTTTGAACTCATGTCTCCTAAAGATGAGCATGATTAATTAAGCGGATGTAACGTGCGTCAACTACTAATAAGCGATTTTACCGACCCAATTTCGCCAATAGCTAGAACTCCGAATTTTACATTGACATGTCGTTGAAATTCGGTCGTCGTTTGATACCAAGCGGTCGCCGATCGGTCATATGGCGCCATATGTAAAAAACTACAATATTTCTCTCTGGTTTTAAAAAATTATTTTCCTAATTTTTTTTTATTTTAAGATATTTGTGTGTTTGATATTTTCCTTTCAGTGGACCTTCTTTTTCTTTTATACTAAAATAAATTAAGCAACAGGCGAAAAGGAGACATTTTTAATTCGGTATGTGCTTTATCCAGCGCAAATTGCTCCCTTATTGAAATCAGCCACTAAGCACAGAGGAAATCGACCCTTTCAGTACTACAGGGTAGCTTCTCTCAGTTTAGCAATGCATTGTGGACAGTGCAACAGTAAAATTGACATGAATGCGCCCTCTACAGGCGATGACGCCGTCTGTCACAATAACACTAACCCATTGCTGATGTTTTCTGTGTATACATACATATGTACATATGTATGTATGAATTTATGTTTGTTGTTGTCTCTAAATATAGAAACACTTTTGACGTCGTTGCTTGCGTCGTCAACAGAAAGCATTTTAATTGCGGCGCAGTCGTAAAGAAGTGCAATTTGTATGAATTAAAAAATTAAGCAATATTTGTACATGAATGAGTCTCAATTAGAGCTGGGTCGGTTAGATCTGAACTAGTTTCAATGATGGGGTCTGCAAAAGGAACTACTGAATAAGGTCATTTGGTTTCTCTAGTAAGGTCTAGTAAGCGGTTGGCAGAAGAAATTCGCAAAATAGGCAAAATATGAGTATTTGATAAGGAAGGATGATCCTACAGTTGGGAGCCTCGGTAAATTACATATATGTATGTGTATAAGTATATACATATGTACATATGTATATTGGAATAGTGAATTAGATTCTCAACTCTAGTTGTGGGAGTCATAAGACTTAATTTGTATATATGTATGTATGTACATATGTACACATACATTGTACAAATGTACATAAATATGTATGTATGTGTGTTTACATGTTTGATTTATCATTCAATTTTGAAGTCAAGGCTTCTTGTCTGCAACTCGTATGGTTGGTGGGCGACCTATGTATCTGCTCTTTTGAGGATGGCATCCAATGCCAAACGTCTTTATCAGTCGTGCATATTTGCCTTATCTATTGCCTCGAGCGCAGAAAAAAAGCATCGCATAGATTGGATTGCAAATAGCAACAACAAATACGCACAACAAGAACAAGAGAGGCGACGGTAAATAACGAAGGCAGCCACAACCACAGCCATAGCTATAGCAGCAGGAACGCGAACATAACGAGCAAAATAAATGAACGATAAAAAGCTAATAAAGACAAAATAAATAAACGCGTGTTTCGCATGCGTGTGAGAGAAGCAAACAAATTTACGTTGGAGCGTAGGAAATACAAAAAAGAAAGCATTGCACATTGGTCTGAATAGCTCTCATTTATTGGAAAAATATCAATTGAAATTGGCATAAAGACAAGTATATATTTATTGGTATAT